GCTCCGAGCCCCCGCGAGTGCCCTTCCCTGCTGGAAGGAGCCGTAAAAATAATGAACAGCGGCATAAATAATTACAGCGGCTCCTCGTTAATTCCGTACCGGCGGGCAGGGTGGCGGAGAGCGGCCCCGGCGGGGTTTGCCATGGGGGGGGAGGGGACGGCGGCGTGTGGTCCCGGTCGCTCTTTTGGGGGAAAAGCAGGCGATTTTTTCTACGCATGCATGAGCCTTCTCCTGTTCTCCTGCCTGCCGACCTGCAGACAAAGGCGGGCTGGCGAGGCGGCCAAGCTTTTGGGTGGGTTTTCTCTCCCCCCCCGCCTCCGGCTGCCCAAATTCCCCCGTGCGGAGCTGCTTTTGGCCCCCAGCAGGTGCGGGGATGGGGGGGAAGGGGGGGGTTCAGAGCTGCTCCGAGATAAACCACGCTTTGCAGCCAGGCAGAAAACCCAGCGTGGGGGCTGTGGGGTGATGGAAGGTCAAATTAATTCATATCCTGCGCTGTTTTTTTTCCTCTTTTCTCATCACCTCCCTTGGCGTTCGCCATCTTCCTCTGGCCGGTGGCCACCAAACACCAGCTTCCCCGGTCTGACCACAGCCCCAGGGCGCGCCGCGGCGCAAACTCGGCTAATTGGCCTTAAAATCGTTTGGAATACTTCTTACTGCTGCTGCAGGCCTGGGCTGGGGAAACTGTGAAGTGCCCGATGCAAGGCGGAACCGCTGTGGCTTTTGGAGGTCATCCTGATCAATTGATTAAGGTTACTGTTCATTAGTGCATTAGGGAGTCAGCAGATGTGTGGGTCGCTAAAAGGGGCTGCTGTTTATGGCCACAGTGATGTGTGGGGCACGATGCAGAGTAGAAACACAGGCCCTTGTGGCAAGAGAGATATTGTTTGGTTGGTGATTTCTGTGTTTGACGTTTCTGTAGCTTTATTCCACCACCAACAGCCTGCATTCCTGTTCCTGCTCATTCTGAGGCAGATACTCCCTCCTCCCCTTTTTTTTTTGGGTGTGGGAAGGGGCTATAAAAGATAGAGTTTGTAGTTTATTGGGGGTTGTTTTGTGGTGGTAACGTATTCTGTAGGTGGACTTTTCAAGGCTGGGTTTTTGTTACAGGTTTGCTTGTCCTCCAGGGAGGTTTGGCCTTGGCAAGACCTCAGTCTCATCTTTCTTGGAGCATTGTGTGCAGCAGCCACTTCCCAGGTCTGCTGTTCCACAGACCTGTTCGTGTCTTTTTATCATCACAGGTGAAATGATGCGTGATCAAAAAATGTGTCTCAAAAAAAAAAAAAAAGCAGCATCATCTAGGGGTTTCCTGACATGCAGCGTAAAAGCAGCGAGGAGTATATTCAGCTGGTGAAAAACCACTTGGGTCAGTTTTAGCAGGCACTGAGGCAGCAGAAAACGTTCTTTTTGGCTGCTGTGAATAGACAATGTGTTTTCAGACGGAAGCTGGACATGAAAGGATTTTTAAAAATACATCCCGTACTACGAAAGTTCCAATGGTGGTTTTGTTTACCCTGCCAGCTGAAAAAGCAGACAGGAACAGAATTTTCAGAAAGAGGAAACTGAGTAGGAAAGAAGTCCCCGCACGTATCTTGCAGGCAGGAGGCTGCTATGGGAGCATGTTTGCCCTGTGGTGACGTGGGGCAGAAACACTCGTATTTTTGGTGTGACCTGGAGGAGTGAAGAGGGTTGTTGGGGGGCATAGGTAAGGCTAAGAGTAGGCAGATCTGCCCTGGAATAAGTCTGCTGCAGATAATTCTCACACAGATGCCAAAAATCAGGTTTGTATCTCTCCAGGAGCACCAGGCTAGACCAGGATGCACCAGTGTGGTCCACAGCTGGGTACCAGCAAGGGGTCTGCACTGGGCTTGAGGCAAAGGTGCTCAGGCTGCAAGGGGTCCAAGGGGCTTGGGCAGGGTGGGAGAGCTTTGCAGCCTCCAGGAAGAGGTTCTCCTCAAGGAAGGGGGGGGCGACAAAGCCCCACTGACCAGCAAGGATCCTTGCTGTGGATGCTTCTCCCTGGGGAGACTGAGTGGAAAATTCAGGCAGTTCCTGGGATGAGTGTCCTGGATGTGGTGAGCAGGACAGCAGTGAAACAGCACAGGAAAGTGTGTGCCAGGCCAGATTCCCCAGGCGCTTCCAGGTGCTGTGAGATGGGATGGCCCAGAGCCAAAATCTCATCAGGGACCCCGGACAGTCCCCTTCCATCCGGTGGCTGGGAAGGGTGGATGGTCCTTCTGGCTACTCTCTTGTCCCTCTGCTGGCAACACTGCAAGGTCGTGCAGGAAGAAAAATCAGTATTTCAGGAACCCGGTAATGAAGGCAGAGGTGAGGTCAGAGGGGAGCTTGTATTTCCACCGATACGCTCAGTATTTCCTTTTATAAACAACATAGCAGACAGCGTGGATTTTGACAGTTCCCTGCAGCAGTTACCCATGTGTGTCAATTGAGAATTCCCCTACATTTGCCTTCAAAAATACTGGCATGGGGCTGACTTGCTGCCCCTGGGGAGTTCACTGCTGGAGGCATCTTGCCGTTGGGTTCCTGGGCTTGTTCTGCAGCTCTGGACTGTCCTCTTTGGAGACCAGAGCGTGGATTTGAAGTGCTCGCTTCACTGACCAGGTGGGGAAGGTGGCAATTTGGACTTAAAAAGCTTTTAATCCCCATTTTTTTGCTTTCATTCCGTGTTATGCTCTGTGTTGTTTAACAGTTTAGAAATGAAAATAATTTTTATAAATGATCTGAGGATACAGGAGTTCAAATATAAACCTGGAAACAGTAGAGCAGATTGGAAAACATTGTGGTCTCAGCCCTCTGCTTTTAATGAGGACAAACTCCATCACACTTGCATCTCAGTCCTCTGCACTCCTCTGGTTCATCACTAGCATATTATTTCACAGGTGTTTCATGGGAGCTTCAAAAATATGTGTCTGTGCTGATTTACTTGGTGTTGTTGGATCCGAGGGCTGGACTCGGCTGCTCTCCAGCTCTGTTTGACAGTGGCTCTTCAAGAGGAAATGCCAAATAGATGCTAGTGAGTGAATGAGTTTCCTCTCTGGATTTGTTTTCCTTTTTCCCTGACGCAGGTCTCCCAGGCGGCCGCAGAGCTCCAGCAGTACTGTATGCAGAACGCCTGCAAAGATGCCTTGCTTGTTGGGGTTCCTGCGGGGAGCAATCCCTTCCGAGAGCCCCGCTCCTGTGCTCTGCTCTGAAAACCAGGTAATGAAGTCACAGCTACCACGACAACCACTCTGACTGGGAACTCAAGCCCTAGGAGGGACAAGGGCACGAGGTGGTAGTTGTTTGAACGTCTAGTTATTGGTAGCAAAGTGTTCGTCGCTTTCTGTCTGGCTCTGCAAATTGTTTTCTGTTCCTTTTTGGTCTGGCAAATGAAGCATGTCTCTTTCCTGGAGCTCTTTCTAGAGGCGTTTTGTTTATGAGTTTTTTTTTCTTTTGGTTGGTCAGTTTTTGTGTTTGAGCAGCTTTAGCAGCAGCAGCATTCAAAATAATAAAAACTGTCTGTGACACACAGCTGCATTTGAGGCAGCCAGACATAAAACCCAGTCTCAGTGAAGAAGCAGGACAAAGCCGTGGCAGCTGCACGTGCTCTGATGAGCTGCTCACAGCTAAAAAACCTTGTTAAAATGCATTTTGTCTTCGCCATCACATTGCAGTTCATTTGGCTGCCTCAGTCATAGACTCATGGAATGGTTAGAGTTGGAAGGGACCTTACAGATCATGGAGTTCCAACCCCCCTGCCCTGGGCAGGGACACCTCCCACCAGACCAGGTTGCTCAAAGCCCCATCCAGCCTGGCCTTGAACACTTCCAGGGATGGGGCAGCCACAGCTTCCCTGGGCAACCTGCTCACAGGAAAGAATTTCTTTCTAGTATCTAATCTAAATCTCCCCTCTTTCAATTTAAAACCATTACCCCTCGTCCCATCGATCCACTCCCTGATAAAGAGTCCCTCCCCATCTCTCCTGTAGGCCCCCTTCAGGTACTGGAAGGCCATTAGGAGGTCTCCCGAGAGCCTTCTCTTCTCCAGGCTGAACAACCCCAACTCCCTCAGCCTGTCCTCATAGGAGAAGTGCTCCATCCCTCTGATCAGTTTTGTGGCCCTCCGCTGGACCGGTTCCAACAGGTCCATGTCCTTCCTGTGTTGAGGTCTCCAACGCTGGACACAGTACTGCAGTCCTTAGGCTCCTTCTGTCGTTACTGTTGGTGAGGGCACCAAGCAGCGGTGGAAGTGGAGAGGAACTGAGGCGATCTGTAACCACAGCCTTTTCCAGCCCAGCTTCTGAAGGATGAGATGCTCCCAGGGCTCTCTCTGTCTTGGCCCTCTGCATTGCTTCTTCCTGTGTGACACCTGCAGGGTGGGTGGGTGGTGGCCATCCGGCTTTTGCAAACCTTTGGGGTCCAGTTCCGTGATTCCCATACGTGTGTCTCCTATCTGTCCCACCGGTACCAGTGGTTGCAGCAGGAGGAGGAAAGGCCATGTAGTGTCAGCAGGTTCTAGTAGTGCTCGCAGTCTTGGGCAGGATCACACCATGACTTTTGTTGGAAAATCTTACTACTTCTGCATGACAAATTAACGTGGAAGTAGGATATTCCAAAGGGGTTACTCTTCTTTAAGAGAAAAAAAAAAAGATCCTGCTAAAGAGCTGAAAAAACTACAGAGAGAGAAAGAAGCACTGAATTCTGTTCTTTCTTTGACTGCTATCAAAGTGCAAGTTAATGTTTTCTTTAAAGGCAGAATATAAACTAGAACATAAAAGTATTTGCAAAATCTTCCCCTTCCCGCTGCCTGAGCTTGCTGTTGTGCTGGTGCCTCATCAATAGCGTGGTTTTGATTGTTTCTACATAGGTTGGTCAAGAAAAGAGTAAACCTGAAGAGAGAGAACAACTGAGCACAAGATGCTTTTCTGGGAAAACTTGTTGGGGGAGGGGGGAAAGCACAAGCAGAAGATTTTATTAGTTTAGGTGCTACCCTTAACAACTCCTGAAAATGAGATAAAATTGATGGTGACTCTTGCATGTGTTATCCCATTATTGAAGCAGCATTTCTACTCTTTTAATCTTGTGTGTGTGTCTCTGTGTGTATGGATGTATTTCTAGGATTCAAGTTTGATTGCATCAGGATACAAAATATTTCCTCAAATGAGTTTGATGGTTAATTTATGATGCTTTTAGAAACGCGTAGCTCAGCTCAAGATGTCTTTTAGCCATCTTTTGATGATAGATCAATTATCTAGTTTATTATTTAGTCACGTTAGGATCACAAAAAATGAGAACAAAGTCCAAAAGCCAATTAAAAAAAAATTGTAATACTCAAGGATGCCAACATCCAGCAAAGGAAAGGCATTATTGATTTTTTTCTCAGTGCAAAGGCACTTTTGTGTTATAATTTGTAAGAGAAATGTATCTGCTTAGGAAGACAGCATTTAATAAACCTTTTTTTTCCTCTTACAGGGAAGGTCATCAGAGAGTTGCCTTCAAGCATGACATGAATAACAACTGCCTTTCCTTCACAAGAAAAGTCTCTCTCAGTGTCCTAACTTTTGTGTGGCTAAAAGAATATCCTAGATATTTATCTGTTTGTTCTTGTGTATCTGTACTTCACTATCTTTTGCTAATGTTCTTAAAGTTTTTAATGCTACTCTTGCTCTTTTCATAATCGTCACCATTGTTACTGCACTGTGCTGACTACACAAACATTACTTGAGAAGTTTACATTTTAGAAAAGAGAAATACATGAATTTTTACCAAATTTCTTACTCTTGTCTTGGTAAACTGTTTCACTGGAACGGTAGTAAAAACTATCTTGTTTTTTTCCAAACCCAAAAGAGTGAATTGTTGAAGTATGGAACTAAATGCTTGTAGCACTGAAGTAATGTTCTCAGAAGGAATTTTCCTTCTGTTAGGGAGAAGGAACCAACTACACTTTTTTTTTTCACGTCCGTGTAAGTCCATGAGTGACACGTGTTAGAAACTGCTGGACACGATGTGTAGCACAGGCTCAATGCCTCAGACTTCTAATTTGTAACACTTCTCCTAATTTCTATTTGTAGAGGTACTGCTGTGGTGGAGTTTCCTTCACATGTTTAAAATGTGACCAAACAGACACTAAAAACACAGGAACACCCAAAGATAGTTGCATGCATAGTTGTCAAAGGTTTGCAATACACAAAACTTCCTAGAATGTGCTTGGTCTTTTGCCTTCCTTTTTTTATGGAGCACTTTTACAAGGACAACTAACTTTTTTAATAGGCTTTTAATTTTTGTCTACTTTCTATTGTTTGTATTAATCTTTTAGAAGTTTGGAAATAAAATTCCTTTCCCTACTGGCTTTGAGCTTGTTGTTTAATTGTAATGAAGAGCAGATATTGTAAGGAAGGGGGTACTTAGATTTTGCAGTGGGAGGGGAGGCCTCAAGCTTTTTAGCTTTTTGGGAAGAAAAAGTTGCGGTCGGATTTTTGGAAAATACGTCTTATAAATAGAAAAACTGTATTTGTAGCGATTTGCCGTTTTTTTGTGCTAAGTGGTAACAACGTTATCAGGCTCACTTAGACATTTTGAAACTGTAAGGAAGAAGTTGGCAGTCTGAGCATTAATTGTCATTAACTGAAGCGGGGCAGTGCGTGTCCTCCAGGCACTTCAGGCTTTCTCAGAAGCTTTTTGTGCTCGCTGTCCTGTGGGAAGACACTGAGACAAGAGTCATAATGTACCGTGCCTCTAACTGCAGAGGAGAACCTCCTTCCCGAAGAACTTTCCTCTGGCTTCCTTTTGCTGTAGGCTGTTTGAACGTGGTGGTTGTTCTCTCAGCCCTCGTGCACGCTGCGGAAGTCCAGAGGAAGCACGGTTGTTCCTGCTTGCACAGAGGTGACCAAAGGCTCAGACGAGGTCAAAATGATCAAGTCAGGGAGGGAGGGATGTGGGTACATGTCAAACGCCTTGGAGCAGCCACCAGATGCTGGCTGGTCACTCCCTCCCAGGCAAGCCCTCTATTTATTTAACCTTCCACAGTAAAACCTCCCTCCCCGTCCCTACATCTGCTTCTCTCCCAGGTCACAGGATCATATGGGCTTGGAAGGGATCTCTGGAGATCATCTAGTCCAACCCCCCTGCCAGAGCAGGGTCACCCAGAGCAGGTTGGATGCATCCAGGTGGGTTTTGAATGTCTCCAGAGAAGGAGACTCCACCACCTCTCTGGGCAGCCTGTTCCAGGGCTCTGCCACCCTCAAAGTGAAGAAGTTCCTCCTCGTGTTTAGATGGAACTTCCTGTGTTCAAGTTTGTGCCCGTTACCTCTTGTCCTGTCACGGGGCACCACTGAAAAAGGATTGGCCCCATCCTCTTGACACCCACCCTTTTGAGTATTCTTAGGGACTTGGGTCTTTACAGCCTGGAGAAGGCTGAGGGGAGGATCTGATCAACACCTTCTCCAGGCTGTAAAGACCCAAGTCCCTCAGCCTCTCCTCATAAGAAGGATGTTCTAGTCCCCTGGTCATCTTTGCAGCCCTTTGTCCCCTTCCTCCCAGGTGGAGCATGGGCTCTGGAGAGCTGGCATGAGGAGCTGCCAAATGACCATGTGCAGGAGAGCGCAGCCGTGGCTGGCCAGCCGGTCTCAGCTGCTGTTGTCTCTTGGCTGCCCTGCCCGGCTCCCAGTGGTACCTTTCAGCTGGAGCACCACGATGGACGTGTGTGGGAGGAGCAGCTCTGTGTGAGCACGCTGCTGGTCCTGGCTGCATCCACCTCTCGCGCCAGCAGCGGGTAGAAAGACCTGTGCAAGGGTTGGGAGAGGGATGGATGGATCGGGACTGCTGTCTGCTGAGGTCTCAGCTCCACACTCCGCGCAGAGGCCTTCACACCCATCTCATGGCAGCACAACATGCCCACGACAAAGCAAATTTGGTGAGCACACACACCTGGATGGCCAAGAGCCTCCTATGAGCCACAAGGACCCCTTTTTTGTCATCTCTTGGGGTCCCTCAGCAAGGCTCTTCTCCATCCGCAGGTGCCACCTGCCTGGTCACTAAGCAGTTGGTAAATCTGATCCAAGAACTGAGTCCCTACCTGCTGCTGAAGGACTGGTGCTGAGGTTTTGTATTGAATCTTTTTGTCTGAGAATTAGTTACATCCAAATTCTTCTTAGTCATAGATGATTTTCAATGGCTCAAAGTCCAGATAAAGAGCAGTCACAAGCAGTGTCCCTCAAGGGTCCGTGCTGGGACCAATACTGTTTAACATTTTAATCCATGATATAGACAGAGGGATTAAAGGCACCGTCAGCAAGTTTGCAGAGGACACCAAGCTGTGTGGTGTTGTCGATACACCAGAGGGATGGGATGTCATCCAGAAGGACCTGGACAGGCTGGAGAGGTGGGCTCAGGTGAACCTCATGAGGTTCAACAAGAACAAGTGCAAGGTTCTGCACCTGGGCCAGAGCAATCCTCGCCATCAGTACAGACTGGGGGGTGAGGTATTAGAAAGCATCCCTGAGGAAAAGGACTTGGGGGTGCTGGTGGACGAGAAGTTGGACATGAGCAGGCAGTGTGCACTTGCAGCCCAGAAGCTGGGCTGCATCAAAAGATGCGTTGCCAGCAGGTCCAGAGAGGTGATTCTTCCACTTTACTCTGCTCTGGTGAGACCTCACCTGGAGTATTGTGTGCAGGTCTGGAGCCCTCAATATAGGAAAGATATGGACCTGATGGAGCAGGTCCAGAGGAGGGCCACAAGGATGATCAGGGGGATGGAGCACCTCTGCTACAAGGACAGGCTGAGGGAGCTGGGGTTGTTCAGCCTGGAGAAGAGGAGGCTCCGGGGAGACCTAATAGCAGCCTTCCAGTACCTGAAGGGAGCCTACAGGAAGGCTGGGGAGAGCCTGTTTACAAAGGCCTGTAGTGACAGGACAAGGGGCAATGGCTTCAAGCTGGAGGGGAGCAGATTTAGATTGGAGAGGGAAACTGCATCTTTCCAGTGCAATAGTAATTTTTCTCCACATTAAACAGATGGGAGGAGGGGGGAGAATGTGGTATCTATCGGATGATGGATTTGCCAATCTGTACATACCTGTGAGAGACTGAGAGTCACAAACAAATACAGTAAAAAACCAACTGGTTACTGCAAGCCCTTTTCCTTGTTTTCCACTGCGTTGCCAGTAATTAACGGTATGCTGGCGTTTTTCCTACCTAGTGGAAGCTGAATGCAGACAGCACATGAATTTTCTTGATTTATTTAATCCAGGCAACGTGCCTTTGTTTTCAAAGTGATCTATGGATTATCTGAGGCAGTCTTCTGTGTCCATGCCTGTGAAAGCTTGGGTGTCAGCCTTCTCCTGTGGGGAAGGAGAACATAAATACATAGCTTGGCAGCAGCAGCTGTAATTTCCTCCACTGCGGTCATCTGTGACCAAGACCTTGCAGAGCTGCACCCTTAAAAAGAACACATTCCTGGGCCTGGCAATTTGGGAGACAGCTCTGAAAAACAGAGCCAAACCCATGAAGCAAAGAGATGGAAAATGGTCAGGTCAAGTGACCACAAAAATGGGACAGAAATAGTAAGCATACCGGAATTTTTATTTAAGTTTTTCACTTATTCTGGGGAAAATAGAGAAATGCTGGCTTGTTTGCAATTCTATTAGAAGTCTTTCATCTTTTTCTGTTACACTTGAAAGGTGTAACAAGAAAAGTCTTGCAAACAATTTGGGTACAGATAATTTGGGGATATTAATGAGAAGTAAAATTGCTGTGAGTGCTGTCATCATAGCTTTTAGGAACTCCCAGCTGAAAAACAGCGCTCTGTTTCCTCTGAAAGACCAAAGCTTTCTCCCCTAAGTGCTGGTTTTATTTATCCAAATAGTGAATATGCACTTAATGAAGGCTGAATGTCAAGAAAGTATTTTACTTCAAGCATAAACTCTGAACTTGGTGGTTTTTCATTTGTGGGTAGCTGTTTTTTTTTTTTTTTTTCCTTTCTTTCTGTTATTGCCTCGAACTTGAAAAGATTTGTGAGTTTGGAAAGAGAATCATCTCATCTGAAGGCCACTGAGCAGACCCTGGCACTCCTGCAGCGGAAGGGAGTCACTCTCTACCATCACTCCCATACGTATTTCCACTTTCGTTGCCAAATCTTTTGATGGAAAGTGAGGGTTTGGTTATTCTTCTATCCTCTCCCTTCTGTGGCTTGCAGTTGAGAAGCCTTTTTTCTTTTAAAAAATAAAATCTCCTAGTGCTTCCAGCTGTAGCCTACGATGTCTGGCACTGCCTCTGGATGACTCTGGCCTCCCTGCCTGGGCGTGTCCTGCAGCAGGTGGAAAAATGCAGATGCCAACACACGGCCCCCACCAGATCGTGCAGAGCGCTGGAGTCACAGCTTAGTCCTCTGAATCAAACCTACTGGAATCCTAAATCTCAACGTTATGTTGCACATGTTGTGAAAACAGCTTGTTTCTCTAGCTTGATTGTGATTAAAGGCAGTTCTGGAACCCATCACCTATTTTCTCAAGGAGCTTTCAGAAGGAAAGGAGCTCCAAGGGTTATAGCTGTAAGCATAAGAAAGCTCAAAGGCTTTATGAGCAGCCTTGAGATGCCGGCAGATCTTTCCCTCCTCTAAGTTTGGAAAGCTGCAGGCTCAGGGAGCAAACACAGGTGCCTTGAAACTATGAGCTTCAGTGTCTAGGTTTTTTCATTCATATTTTATTTTTTTTTGTATCAAGAGTGATAAAATACCTTTATATCACCCATGAGAACAAAGAGAGGAGCAACAATTCTCCAGACTCAAGGAACTAGTTGTTTAGTAAAATTTTAAAAACATACAAAAGAATCCCAAATTAGTAAGGATTCACAAACCCTAATTTCTCTCTAGAAATGAACATGAAAAAGAATTTAATTTATTTCCCTTCAAGGTGTTTAAGAATTTTAAAAAGTATGTGTAGTATGCAAATCCCCACTCTGTTCAAAAGAACTTAAGACGTGTTTGTCCATCACTTCTTCCAGGGACTCTTTCATATGTCAATCTCCTTTTTTTGAACGCTGGTACTTCTGCAAATCCTGTATCTGGAAAAGAAGGGGAAAGAAAATACATGTATGATAAACTACAAATAGTAGTATACAGACTTACTTATTTGTTTCTCAGAAGCAGTAACAGTCTTTAGCTTTAACCAGTATGCTCTGTATGAAAACTATCAATGGCCATAAAATTAAGTGTGTACAGATTAATATTATCTACTACTTACTAGTACTGACCAGTTTTCTGCACATCGTCCTGTAATAATAATATAGAACCTTATACAAAATAAATACATCAACCTGCAGTATGCTTAACCACAAAATTTCAGTAAAGATTTTAATGCATATTTCTATTCCATTAATCTTACACTCAGTAATTGTGAAAGTTAATTCTTAACCAGAGACATGCTCATATTTCCAAGTTGTTTAAAAAAGCTGCTTATGTTGTTAAGATTCAAGTATTTTTATGACAAAATATTTGAGTAGTTGCTTATTCAAAATAAGTTACTGTAAGAAAATTCTGTTTAGTCTTTACAAAACATATTGTCAGAAAACTTTAACACTGACCTAAGGATTTCATCTGTTCCAGCAGAAATATGGGCTTGGCATACTGGCATTAATTGCTTATGGTTTAATCAATGTTTGATCTGAAGCCTGAAGAAATCCCTGGGGGTTCCCAGTGTGTCTTTTTAATTTGACTCTATGCACATTTCTTACACTTGTGATTCCACATTTCTTAAATTTTTGATTTCAAAAGGCTTTTACTGTATCAAGGAGAGTTTTTTGCATCACCATGCACTAGTGAATAATAAAATAAAATAAGCCAGTTCTTCCAAAATCTAAACCAAAAATCACTTTTCCTTTTTTTTTTTTTTTTACATTTGATTCAGATTTAAGTATACCTTTGCCCTGCTGGGCAAGAGTTTTACAGAAAGCTCATCAAGTTGGAGATCACAGTGTTTTCAGAATATTGTAAAATGTGGTTGCAGAAGAATCTGTTCTGATCTCTACTGAAACTATTGTATTTAGAATTTCATACTATCAGTGCTAATTGCAGGTTACTGAAATACTGTTAACTACCCAGCCCTACTTCAGGTCTCAGTTTTCATCCCAACAGAGAGGCAACAGGTTTGTTCAGAGTTTCCGTATAAAATATATATTATATAGGCTGAAATTTAAAAGCAGTTCACCATATCCAATTTACTTTTCCTCTCTTTTCTTCCACAATTGCCTTAAGCAGCCCATGAAACATGATATCAATTAGTTAAATGTGTTTTCATGAATGAGTGTGATCTAATTAGTGAAAGCATTTAATGCTGTGCTAACCTTGCTGTACCACCAAAAGATTTAACGACAGGCAGCAACAGAGAAAACAGAGAAATAAATCAAATGACCTGTACTAGGAGTTCAGCACTTTGTTTAAGAAGCTTAACGGAGGATTTTAACAGAATGTGACACCTCACCTACAGAGAAGCAGCAGAATTTAAAAAATAATAGAATATATGATACAGAATTACTTAGTCTGACAGGGACTAGTGATGTTTTTTTTTACTTTTAAGACTCCATGGATCCATATTAACCTTATCAAAAAAGGTCTCAAACTAACTATATTTGAGAAAGTAAACCAGGGATAAGAAGCGTATGAAAAGAAAAAAAAAAAGAGAAGTAAACAAAGTTTTGAAATACACACTGTACCATCTATTTGAAGAAATGTGCTTTGGGATGATATGAAAAGGGGAAGATGGAGAGTTTATCCCTGGAGACATCAGCTAATAAATAAAATTATTCCAAGAATAAGGGAACTGTATGAAACAAACTTAGAAAGGTGTCAGAGTGAAATTCTTACTCCATTAACACAGACAGCAAAACACAGCTGTGTAGTAGTATCTAAATTTCACTCGTTGAAATTGCTGAATCTACTTTTTGTTCTTTAGAGAAAATACTTTCTAGTCTTTTCTTCCTCCTTTTATCCAAACAAAATAAGATGAATCTTACAATATTGGAGAACTACTTGTCAATATTTTACCAAGGAAAAATAATGGCAGTAACTATTTTTTTAAAATATTCTTTATGCTCCAAGGGAAAAATAAATGTTTAGGAGTGTTTTATCACAGAAGAAATACATATGCAAGTAAGTTTTGTAGTAAAGGAACCATGCAAATGTTGGGTTGGATTGGATTTAACAACTATTTGAAGAAAATACAAAATCTAGTCTTACAGATAGTCCACTAGAGTTAAAAACAGAATTTCAGCAAATTCTGCTTGCTTTGGACATACCTGTTCTATTTTTCTCCCTTGTCCATAAGAATGGTGGACTTAGCCTTCTCCTTCCTTCAGATTCTCTCCCTATTTGGTGAAAATTCAGACTTTGAGGCTCATCTGAGTCAACAAAGAATTCAGAGAGAAAACCATCAGGTGCAAATGGGCCGGTGGATGAAGAGTCATTCCATGGGGTCTGGTCAGTCAGAATTTCTGGGCTCTTAAATGTTGTGTCTCTAAACTCTTCTAGAAAACTCTTAGAGCTCTCCTGAGGTGCATAGTCACTGAAAGTTGCAAAGAAATCTTCTTTTTCAGAGTTTTTGGAAGAATGACCAGTGCTATGGTGCATACTGAAAGGCTGCCTTTGAAGATGAAGTGAATTGGAAACATCTAGATGAGCAAAATCTTCACAGTCCTTTGGCACAGGAAAGAAATTCTGTTTCCTCTCTGTAATTATTTCTGAAGAACATGACTTCTTTTGCCCACAGCTTGGAAGATCAGAGTCAAGAAAACCCTGCCGATGATTCAACGGAGGAATTATGGCTTCAGAATTCATAGGAGATGTTCCTGGTAGAGAAAAATTTGAACCACTCTGTTTGGAGAACAAAAATGATTTCTCTACATTTTACAGAAAGCCGAGATGCCATTGAGCATTTTGACCTCAGTCTGTCTCCCCCGAATAAGTAACTTTTCTATGATTAGAAGATAAAGATTCTAATACATTCAGATTTTCAGTTGGTTTCAAAGAAGTCACATTCTCCTATTAATTCAAGATATTACCTGTGCTGTTTTGTGCCTTACCAAGCAGTTCTAAAGACCGATGATTTTGTTTACAATCTGGATAGAATGTGTTGAAGTTATTCTGGTTTTCTAGGGGTGATGGGGGTGATGCACCTTTCGCTGCTCTTTCTAGTGGAGCAGCAGTATTAAGGCTGTATGAAGATGTCATGTCACTAAAATGCTGAAACCAAAAAAAAAAAGATACTTGAGGCGTGTTTATAGTACATCTACACTGTCAAATATAAAAAGTTAACCCAGTTATTAGGAATCTAAGATGTATAATTTTTTGTTTACCGGAAAGAAAATTAAAAAAGACTTACCAATACAGAAGGAGAGGGACATAGAGTAGACAATGTGCCACGTGTCTTAAATCTATAAACAGAGTAAGTAATAGGAAGGAAGGGGGAAGGGAGGAAGGAAGGCAGGCAGGCAGGAAGAGAGGGATGGGCAAAAGTCCTGGAAATACTTAATTGGAAAACATTTCTTATATTAGGGAAACATATAAGATTGTATGCTGATACAATACTTGATACGATGAAGCTTGAAGAGGAAGCTGATCAAACAAGTATTCTTCCAGTTAAGAAAATGTTCTAATAATTTTCACATTAACATAATGGTGACTTGACAAAATCTGCTGAGAATTAGCAGGCTCAACATTTTAAATAAATCATAATAGCAAATGAGTATGTAGCTTCAGATGAAAAAAAAACCTCCATTACAACAGTACCAACAGATGGATCTAATATATAAATTAATTCTGGCCAACCTTTAATACTTTTTTTGGAACCTCTGGGAGGAGTTCCTGAAGTTGATCAAAGCTTGCAAGAAACAATCTGTTCAACGAAGATGCTTTCTTTAACATACACTGAGCAACCAGAGGGTTGATACATGGAAAAGTAAGCAGGCATTGCTCTGTCTGGAAACGGAAATTATTTTGTTAGCTTGATATCTGACAAACTTTTTTTCCCTTTCTTTTTTTCTGTTTCTGCAGAATAACATCTCTACAAATAAGTTATACAGTATATCATAGAAATAGAGCTTTTAAACAGTACACTTTTACAGACCAATTAAATCTTTTTATTTTTTTACTACAGATGTAACAGTGTATCATTTTTGCAAAAGAGTAAGTTCTGCATAATAGCTTGATAAAAAGCAAGGCACAGTCTAAAGATGCTTCGATTTGAAAGGATAAAACCAGTGAATCATGTAAACTTGATTTGAAAATGCATTAGCAGATTTAAGCAATACCCTTGATTCAGTAATGGATCTGCACTGATGAATTTGGCTCCCTGCCCAAGTGAGCTGTTGTATATTTATCTTTTACAATTTGGATAGCTTTTAAACTTAGTGCCCAGAACTGTAGAACTCTACCCATGGGCCAGCAGATGTGGAAGATAAACTTCTCTACTGGTTAATTATGAAAGCACAGGGAGAGTCCAAGTTGCTCTTAGTTGCGCTGGCGAGGATAATGGAAATGTTATTTATATATATATATATATATGCACATATATAAAAGTACATATATATTTACGAATAATAGTGCTTATTTTAACAATATATTTTAAGAGAACAATAAAAAAACCCAGAGTATATTTTAATTGGAAGATAAGCAAACCTCAGATGGCAGGACAGAAAGCCAGGATTTGTCCAACCACTCATGAGGACTGATATTAGATACCATCAAAATGTTGTCAGCAATCTGACGAATTACCAGTGCTGCCTCTTCAATCCCTGGCATAAGAACTACCTAAAAGCGATAGAAATTATTTTTGGTTAAAACTTATACTAAGGAATGTCTTCATTAGCTACAGCAGTTAAATGGAAAAGCTTACAGGTGACCCAGAACACAACAGGTGTTAACCTGGAGTAATTAAACCTGATCCATGCTTATCACGCAGAGGAACTCTGACCATTAGCCTGGCTGCATATTACACTCCTTATTCATGCAAATCCTATGCAGGTGAAATTAGTTTATTCCATAGCTCTTTTACACATGATCAGGTTAATGGGTATTGTACAAGTTCCTAATAAAACAGGCAATTGTGAGATGCATAATTTAGATTAACAAGATATGTGACTCTTTGAAGGTATAATTTCCACATGAACTACACTGATGAGTACATGGAATAAAAAAAGCTTTGTCCTTTTTAACATCCATTTAAATTTGATAAATTTGAAACAAAATTTATTATGCAAGTAAGTAAAAAAAAGAGTAAAAAGATGTTACCTCATGCAAAAGAGGTAAGTTACAGACATCACCTTGGTAAACCAATTTTTGCCCCATTTTTAAATGTGGACTATTCTAGACACCGCATTTTCTGATTTATAATGAAAAAGTTAATTTATCTTACAACATTAAAAAAAAAGCAAACTAGCTAACAGCAGAGAAAATTGCACTTTCTTTCCTTCTACTACATTGGTAACATAATATCAAACTGAAACTTCAAATTAAGATGTAATCAGGATTAATGCATGTTCTAATAATTTATAAAGTTTAAGGTACAATCTCATTTCTTGACTCCTAGTCATAAAAACACTTCAGTGGCCATTTGAATCTGATTCAGCTTGTACTAGAGTCAACACAGTCTTTTCAGGGACTTCAGCAGCACTGAATTAAGCTCTTCTCTCTTATTTTAGTAATTTTAAGCTATTTTCTGTTTTTGGTGTAGAATGCATACTTGATTAAGTGCTTTGGAAATAGTGTACAGTGAAGAATAAAACAGAAAGGTTGTTAGCAAAAAAAATTACCTTCACTTCAAAGTCTTCTGACTTCTGTGTAAGTTCAATTAGAGTGGCATAAAATAAGGCAACGTTAAGCAGAGTATCTCCCCTGAGACTGTACCTACAAAAGAGTTTCATTGGACCATTAATATTTAATATACACATTTAATAATTCCAAAATGTTTGCTCTATGTGTAAATAAATGTTTCACTTCCTGAATTCAGAATAGTAGTATAGTTTGAACATTAGTATCTGTAATAGGAGAAGTAGGACACATTAAGTGACTGAGTGCTGAAGGGCTCACTGTGAGGAAGAAGAAGGAGTCAGCCCACAGCAAAGCAAGCCTGGCTCCGAGCAAAAGGAAGGACTGCATCAGGGTTGTACAGAGAGGAAAGGTGATGCATGGAAAATTTACCACCTGTTCACAGAAAAAAAACCTCACAACAGGTAGTAAAGAATGCTTATGAACTGTGTCAACGAAAGCTGTGCTCCCACAGCAGAAGGAAAACTACTGATGGATTGGGAGAACACTTGAAGGATGTCTCCCTCTTGCAAATGATACACGGTGATGCTAACACAGTAATTCATAACCATATATTTGTAAGGATTAATTTACTTCAAACAGTTATAAAGAATAATTGCAGTTGTTAATACCCTTAGTCTTGCAAAATTTCTGGATCTGTTGACTTGAAATACACCTCCCATTAGCATTACCTCCTCAAATCCTGTTATTTTTTAACAGTCATTTCTTTACCTCTTGTATAAGAATAAAATTATCTTAATACATGAAAAACACCTCTGCTAACTTTTTTGGGGGCTCTCCAGTGATCACTCTTACTTCTATCATTCCACTGAATTTTTCACTAGGAGCATGACAACAAGTAACAAAGTGAAATGTCCAAAGCACACTAAAAATGCAAGCTTACAATATTCATGTTGTTCTGAGAGTAATGTGTTCCTACATAGAAATTCAAAGAACAAAGAGTGTTAGCAGCTTCCTTTAGTGACAAGTTTGTTTAAAAAATACTAAGACAACAGAAGAATTTCGTAACTTACTCTAAACTCATGCTTTCTCTGGAATAGAAAAGAATCCAACAACATGTATATTGGAGTGATAACACCATCAGCTTTGATATTACATTGTCATAGGATTTTTCATAATTTAGTTCTTCCATGCTCTACCACAAAAGTAATACAAAAAGAAAAACTAAATATATATATTACCATGGCTGTCGCAAGTTATTAATGTGCATTGCTGTATTATGCAGAAGTTAGATCAAACATAAATACAGCTAAATAATACAGGCATGAAAGACATATCTGGGAGATAGGATAGTTTGGGAATACAACCTAGTTTGGTTGTATTCCCAACTTTTATTTTGTTTGACTTTTAAGAAGCTGATTCACTGCTTCATGCCTCTTTTCCCTCCCCCAGAAAGGAAACACTGCTACTAACTTTTTAGGATGTTCTTAAGATTTCTGAGAACTCTAATAATGCAAAATACTATTACAAACTTCTGACATACTTACTTAACCCATACAAATCAAATTATATCTGCACTGAGTATATAAAATATAAGATTGCTAATTGCAGTAACATGTAGGAATGGCTGCCTGTGTTGCGCTTGCAATACTAATTGATTATTTTATTCTATATCTGTCTTTCAGTAGCAGTTCTTCTACCTGTAAAGTCGCCTGTCTTGCTGCATATCAGAATTATACTACCATCTAAACTACTATTACTTTTTATTAAAAGTGGGACAAATTATTCTCTAGACTAATTCAGATAAACATCTGAAACAGGAGGAAGTAACATGCACACTGGTAAGAGAATATAGTCATGGATACGTTTAATCGTTTACTACAATATTCCTTTATACAACTCTATTTTCAAGTATGCATCCTTTGATTACACTTAATACAAGCCAGTATCAGGTCAAGTGTTACACCTTTGTGAAGAAATGTAGGTACAGACATCAGAACATTTTAAACTAGTCAAACTGGCACAGAAGGAATTTTGGAGTTAATGAATTTGGAAAGAAGTCATGAGGCAATGCATGAATTAAGTATGATTATGAGGAAGAAAATACACATTAGAAGACTGAAGATATGGCGTAGAAGTGACCCAATGCATAACAGAATATGGACATACTGGTTTCACTTTGTACCTGCAAAAAGATAGCAGTACATTCATCTATTGTCAAGACAACATATTGATCTGTCCTTCCAAAGAGCCTTAAGGAGTAACTACTGCTTCTCTCAACAAAGGTAATGCTGTACCTGAAGAAGTCAAATTATTTTATTAAATCTCAATTAACTAAAATAACAAGATTTTCTTACAGGAAGTTAATAAGATATATCTCAATACAATTTTTAAAATTACACAGTCATTCTTCATCTTTCTCAAAAGTTCAAGTTTACTTTAAGACACATTTGAAAAATGCACATCAATGTAGCAATGACTTAATGAAATATTACTGGATAAATTCAATTACGTTGTTAACCACACCAAATATAACCTTGATATACAACCTTTGAGTTTACAAAAAAAAGATGCAATACAGACACTAAGATAGAAAAGTTAAGAAGATACATTTGCATACTCCTTTTGAGCAATGAAACATACATTGCATTTCTTTTCTTCCTTTCATGATTGTGCAGCACAGGGAAAGCAAGCCTGACTGACTAAGGGAGGAAGTTGAGAATGGACAATTGTCACACTACTTGGCCTCATCCCCAGGAAACACAAGGAGTCCTAAACCTGAATTTGCCAGCAGTAGGTCCTCTAGAAACTCATATGGACAGTGTATTCAGATGTTAACAAAAAGAGTCACCATAAGCTCTTCTGAAGCTCTTCGCTCTTTTATTTAACTACTTCATCAGTGTTAAAACGAGCTGATGAGAAAGTACCAAAAAGCATTCCTCTCTATTTAGCTTAAGGTCAGGCTGAACAGAGAATTTGAACAGGTCAGAGTTTAAAATTGCATGCCAATTAAACGTTCAGATGTTAAATGTGAAACATATAATTATTTTTTTCCGTATTGAACTGTACTTTTCCCTATTCAGCTGTGCTTCAGCAGGGAAGTTGGGCTAGATGATCTCTATGGTCCCTTCCAACCCTAAAAATTCAGTGAAATTCAGTAATAATCTCAATAAAATGAGATTATTTTACAGATGTTTGTTTGTTTGTTTGTTTTTCAGCATAGCTCCGGTAGATAAAACCCAAAAAAATCCAAGAGAAATTTTTATGAAGAACTAAACACAAAGTCTTCCAAGCACCAAGAAGTACCAAAGCAAAAAGTGTTTTGGGGTAACATTATGATTTTCAGGGAAAAATAGACAATTTTATAAGTTGTTTTGATCAAAAGTGCCAACTCATCATTAAAATAAACAAATCAGCCAGTTCCACTTTGGTTGACTTGTGTGAATGTACAGAACTAAGCTACCAACTTCAGCAGAAAAATTATCTTCTTGTATCTTAATAAGCTAAAAGTGTAATTGCAATAATGTACCAGATAGCCAAGTAGATGGCTACTACAAGATATAGTAGGACAAGATACATGTCCTGGAAAACCGAAAATAAACAGTAAGATTAAATAAGTTATTTTCACTCACTTGGATTCCAAAAGTTGAAGAATGTCTGGCATATTAAGAAGACCTTCAGTTGCCAGAAATACATATGGAATCTGTACCTCCAGAAGAAAGGAACCACAAGGATTCCCTGGAACATTTTGCATGTGTAAGACAATAGTTTCATAATCAAAAAGTAAAGATAATTTTAGGTATGTAAATAGACATATCTTTTAAAAATGCAGTTTTTATTCATCCCCATTAAAATGCTTCTATTTTATGCTTGTTTTGTTCTATTTTCAAAATTAAACTCTTCTGAATATCTTTGAAATTAAGCTTTAATTTATATTCCCTTAGATCAACAGCAACATTCCCTTAGGATGAGGAAGGGTGGGTACAACTTGTAGCTACTGTAAACAACCCATGAACTTGGCACAAGTCTTTATCAAACAACATTTACTACTACATCCTGGCCAAAACTAAGCTCACACCCTCAGAAAAACACTTTCATTTTTCGCTGTATAGATAAACCAGTTATGTTTGCTTGGGTTTAGCCTGCATAATCTGTTACTCATTCTCTTCCACAGGCACATTAATGTAGCATTTTAGGGAAGAGAAAATGCTTTCCTTTCATATGCCAGCCCAATGGCTTATTAAGATTCTGGAGAGCACTTACCCATTTGGATTGTTGCAGGGAGGGTGGTTTTAAAAGTCATGTAACTAACATTTAGATTTTTGCACAGATTTTTCCAGCAAGAGTTTTCAGAGTAATCAAATTCCACTACTAAGGAGAAGTGTGTCCAAGGGAAGTCAGCTCCAATTTGCTGATTATGTATAATAATACAGGAATATCTACCAAGGCTTAAAAAACCAACAAAATATTAATAAAATAACAAAATATTAATAAAATTAAGTTCAGGTAGAATTACCCTCAGAACAAATTTAACACATTTTTACTTTGAAGAATTATCACTGTTTAAAGCCTGTTTACAAAAAACAATTTACCCTTCCTGAATTTAAAACTGCAGTTTCTTTAAAAATTAATTTAAAAATTAAAAGCTCTACTTCCCCTTCTCCAATTACCTACTTGAAGTATTCTTTTTTTCCTGCAACATCATAATCTTTCATTATTTCTGTCTTACACCCTTTTCCCCTCAACTTTCTTAAAACATGCAAAAGAAACACGTTTTTCTACACATTTTTCTAAACAAGCTTTTCTAAAGCATGCAAATAAAAATGTTAAAAACATGGAATTCATATTTTCTGAAAGTTCCTCTGAGCCTCACAACTGAGCATTTTACTAGAGTGTGGACAAACTTTTCACCTCCTAGAATGAAGTTGTAGAACCATATTCTGAAATTTTTACTCCAGACTGGAAAGTCCCATGGAAATGAACAAAAGTAACAGAAGTTTCACTGATATTAGTCCCAAGTAAAGACTTCGTTCTCAAAAATCAAGAATTTAACTTACTTGCTTATGATATCTTTACAACCTAAAATGGTTCCTTTTTTCTCAGAATTCAGATCCATAGCTTTTAAACCTGCATAAAAAGAATTAAAGCCTTAATCAAACAAATGAGCCTCTGTGGGTACACATCAATGCACAGCAGTAACCAGTAAATATGGGAGAACACAAGATACTAAAATTTTATGTATTATGTTGTCTGTCTTGATGAAGGTCTATGCAATTTCAATTTGTATTGCAATGGTGGGTAAAATGATTTAGAAACTTCCATTTTTGAACCCGAGAAAGAAGTAGTGTGAACAAGTTTCATGTCTCACAAAGTCACAATCTGTTAACCTTAAAATGAAAAATTAAAGCCTAGTGCAAAAGGAAGCATCTTTGTCCCTTTATTGTTAAAATTCCTTTACATTTTCTGTACACTTCAAGTTTTACAAGTATGACTAGAATCTGTTGCTAAAATCAAATATTTGTGTAACACAAATGCCTCTCTTCAGAAGTTTAGTAAGTTGGATTGACCTCTGTTTGCAACCAAGTCTTAAGATCTCAAAACAAATAAAATACTTTTCATTAAATATTATTATTAGTAAAAGCATTGTGAACACGCCTCCTCCCTTTTAAAACATTCTAAAAGACAAGCTTTCTTCTTTTAACAGCACAGGAAATGTAACTTTATTTTTAAAGGCAAAAGAGCAACACAATACATGACACTGTTGATAAGGCTCAAGCAAGGAGGAGTCATAACAATGGGTTTTAAGAAGCAATATGAAAGAAATAATGGCTTGCTCTAAACACAAGCACAGGCTTAAATAACAGTCTTTCTGAAACATGTTTCTATTATCAGCTGAATCTGTCATGTTGAACAAGCTTGTACAAAAATTACTCATAGGTAAAATGATGAATTGATGAAAGTGCTGCTTGTATCAGTGTGGGGCCAGGATACCAGAAATAATATAATATTTTTCCTTGAGTTTAATAGATTCCTACAGTTCATGTTTACATATTTAGCAAATTAGCGAGCAATGTCAGCAACAGATGTCTAAGGGAAATCATGATCTGCAGCTAACTACTCATTTAAGATTTTATGCTAAGGGGCTTAGTTAAGACTTCTAAATTCTAACTGCTCTTAAAAAACCTGCAAGGAAGAAAACTTGTGAGCACCAATTCAGCTAAAAACAGAGACAGTCTGACCAAGACAACAGATGCAATTATAATTAGGCAATGGGCTGCCCACATCTCCTTTGTGTTCTGTTAAATAAATCTTGGACTTGACAGATGAAATACCGTTCTCTTGCAATAGAACTCATCATGCCAGAACTCTTAATCAGGGGCAAATAAAATTACAAGAAAGGAAAAAGGCTGCTAGAAGAGTTATGAAATGGAAAAGAGTGAGAACAGTATTTAGAAAGATTCCTGGTGAGGAGAAAAAGGAGAGATACCTGCAAGAAACTTACCAACAGGAATAAAGTGAAACACAGAAAACCAGCCACCTTTAATATCAAAAATATAGTTAAAAATAATTATTTACCTTCTACTGTAGATAAAGCGTGAATGAGGGCAGCTTTTTCTCTCTCTGAGTCCATTCTTGTTATGATTAGTATCTGGAAGAAAACAAGGTAAAAGAAATTCTAGTACGGTAAGACATGTTCTTTCAGCATGCATACATCTTTCCCTCTCCTTTGTATCGAAAGCACGAGATTGACTAAGCAGGTGACAAAAATGGAAACTTCAGAACTTTCCAGAATGACAATCATAGAATATCTCAAGTTAGAAGAGACCCATAAGGGTCACTGAGCCCAACTCCCTGCTCCTCACAGAACTACCTAAAACTAAACCATGTGACTAAGAGCATCAGCCAGACGCTCCTTGAACTCTGACAGGCTTGGTGCTGTGACCTTTCCCTGGGGAGCCTGTTCCAGTGACTGACCACCCTCTCAGTGAAGAACCTTTTCCTAATGTCCTGAACTTCCCCTGATGCAGCTTGATTCCATTTCCTTGTGTCCTACTGCTGGTCACCAGAGAGAGGAGATCAGCGCCACCCCCTCTGCTGCCTGCTTTGGGGAAGTTGTCACCCCTCAGCCTTCTCCAAGCTGAACAAACCAAGCGACCTTACCCAGTCCTCCAAAGTCTGGCCCTTGAGGTCTTTCACAGTCTTTGTCACCCTCCTCTGGACATGCTCTGATAGTTTGATGTCCATCTTACATCGAGGCACCCAAAACTGCACACAGGACTCAAGGTGGGGCTGCACCAGTGCAGTGTAGAGTGGGACAACCACCTCCCTTGCCTGGCTAGCTCTGCTGTGCTTGATGCACCCCAAGACACAGTTGGCCCTTTTGGCTGACAGTTACTGTCTCCCAGCTTGGGTTCCAGCCATCCCAGGGCCCATCATTGGTGTAGAAGACAGAGGCAAAGAAGGTATAAAACATCTCCACTTGGTTTCTGTCCCTATTTGTGAGGTGAGTGATCTTGTCAAGCAGCAACCCTGTTATCTCTGATTCTCCTTTTGCTATGAACATATTTTTAAAAGTCCTTTTTGTTGTCCTTCACAGTGATGGTCAGCTTGAACTCTAATTGAGCTTTGGCCACACGAATTTTCTCCCCACTCTGGTGAACAGCATCTCTGTAGTCCTCTCAAGAAAGCCTGTCCTTGCTTCCAATGTCCATATACTTTACCACCTAAGTTCTAGAAGAGGATCCCTGCTCAGCTGGACCCCAACACCTTCAAAAGCAGATTCCCAGGGGACATTACGTTTAAAAGTCCTTTTTGTTGTCCTTCACAGTGATGGTCAGCTTGAACTCTAATTGAGCTTTGGCCACACGAATTTTCTCCCCACTCTGGTGAACAGCATCTCTGTAGTCCTCTCAAGAAAGCCTGTCCTTGCTTCCAATGTCCATATACTTTACCACCTAAGTTCTAGAAGAGGATCCCTGCTCAGCTGGACCCCAACACCTTCAAAAGCAGATTCCCAGGGGACATTACGGTGGGAAAGTAATGGAAGATTGGCGAGGAGGACTGTAAACACACCCAAGTGACTCTCATGTGGGGTGCTGGAAAACACATCCATCACACTAATTGTTGTCTAGTCTTGTGTACTCAACAGGTAGAACATCTGCACTTAGATAACACAGGCCTAGGATGGACTCAGGGGCACCTTATTGAACATGCCTGAGACTCCTGCCCTGCTGTTGAAGAGATCAAACTCTGCCTGCCAGAATCCTTGAAATACAGTCCAGAACAGCCAGTGTGAGCTCTCACTCTATCACTCCCTTTCTAACAAGGACTCTCTTGATAATAAAAACTCTCTCTCACTCTGCAGTGCCTGCGTCCCCTGCTTGCCTGCCTCTGCCTGGGTGCTGCTTTGGAGATTCCCCCATCCATGAGGTATCGAGATTAAATTTGTTCTTTGCCTTTCATCCGTGGTTTTGTGGTTGTTCCTGTGTCCTGCCTGCATGGGCTCACACACTTACTAACTACCTCCTTCAGCAGCCTGGTCTGCTCTCCCCATATCCAGGGCTGACTTTTTCTCCTGTCACCAATGACTTGAAACTCAGGAGTACGTGGGCATTATTGCAAGAGTTGGAGAAACAACATTACAGAAGACATCAGTATCAGAATTCAGTCTTATGAACAAGGCTGTTCTAGATGAAATCTTAAACTGGAATATTTGATTCAAAGTGAAAGTGCTCTTGAAAGATATTATAATCTTAGACATGATACCACATTACTACTGTTGCACTAGACAGGTGATTACTGTCACGCTAGAGGCACCATCCCTGTGGAGGCAAAACTTAAAACTGAAGATACCTGGAACTCAGTCTGCAAGATGGGGATGTGCTGGAAGAAGGTACTAGATGTACTGCTGAACTAATTAGAAAGATTTTTCAGACCATAGATGGAGTACACTGAAGTGTTCCTGCCAGAGATCGCTTGTCTCTGAGACACATTAAATACTGCTTAAGGCAAAAACGTTGAAAAGTATTAGAATGTACCAACCTGACACAGTTTTCAAAAGAATCAGTACCAATAAGGTGTTTACCTTGTCCATCATTTCAACTGATACAAACTGAACATGTGCTACCTGCTTGCTACCTGTGTGCTGAACGTGTGCTCCTCATTACATGCTGTTGTGAGCTAGATGACATTTTTAGTCGTGTTCTGTCTAATCATGAGTACAAAAGAGTAAAGTTCAGTTTATTCTATTCCATTCACATCTTGTCACTTACAGTGGAAATGTCCCATTATAATCCTGCATCAATAACACATTTTGCCTAATAAAAGGACAATCAGATTATCAACTTTCATATCATATTAGCTGATGCTGATGTGACGTGATGCGATAGAACAGGAAATGGCTTACTTAAAACCAGCATCTCCTTCTGCCTATTCTGGCCCATTGAAACCCATCTCTGATTCTAGTAAACAGTCTCATAATTGTAAATGAAATCATATATATTCTTATATTGCATGGGTATGTCTGCATGCCCTTAAGTCAAGCAAGCAAGTGAAAACTTAGGAGAGTCATAGTTAAAAATTTTAAAAATCATATCTAGTGGAATTCAGAAGAAAAGCTAAATTGTCACTAAGCTGACATTAAGATGACAAAGTTGTCATATGTCTCCCAGTACATCATAATCCTAATATCACAAAGCAAAATGTGTTACTCTTAAGAAGAAAACGGGGCTGAAAACCAGCTTAGAGGATCTACTGAAGGACAGATGCCAAGACAACCAACACCAATCCATTTTGGTTGCTTCATTTTCATTTTAAATTCTAAAAGGGTGTAAATAAGCTAGTATATTTTTCTTCTCAGGAAAATTTACTCAAAAGATGTCTAGAGCTCTTAGTGCAATTCTTAACAGAAACAAAAGAAGAAAGCTCCAAGAAAGAAGTATGGAAAGAAGTTCAAATAAACGAAAGTAAGATGGAAGATTCATTTTTTGGCTGTGTGTTCAGCAACATAAATTCTATTCCAAACAGTCAGGACATTAAAAAAAATTACATATTTTACCCCTCTGTTTCATTATGTGAAATGCAACATGGGGAGATTTGATCAAACAGAAACCTGTACTGATCCTGATAGAGGACTTAAACTTTATGTTACCCTTATTTAACAGATGGTGTGAGTTGGAAGGTAACTGGTAAGACTTTCTTCCATAAACCAACCATTGTTGAAAGGTGATTTTATGATTATTCACATAGTTTGGAGAAGTTCTGTTTGCTTAGAGAAATCGTTTACATCGTTAACCTTAACACTGTGCTCCCCTCCATATCTTTGCATCCAATTTAAAATTTGACACTGAAGCTCTGTAATTTTGGGATTTATTTCATGCTTTTTCTGGCTGCTGTACTGCACAATCTTCAACTGCCTCCAGATGTTATTCAAACAGGATTCTAAGATGTTTTTATAGATATCCTTTGCCTTGGATAAATAACCTGTTAATAAAGCAACAAAAGAAGTACTTGCAGTGACAAAAGATAATTTCCAAGGATTGTGCTGAATCTACACATTAAAAATTATGTGAAGGTATCTTGCACAAAAAGAGATGAAAGTTTAATGGCTCACCAATACTATTATTGGAAGGATACTATTATTACTAATCAGTGGCCTTTATAAAACTGCTATATCTCATGTAGTACCTGCTATATGACTCCAGCTAGAAATACAGAATCACAGAATGATACGGGGTTGGAAGGGACCTCTGGAGATCATCTAGTCCAACTCCCCTGCCAGAGCAGGTTACACAGGAACTTGTCCAGGTGGGTTTTGAACGTCTCCAGAGAAAGAGACTCCACCACCTCTTTGGGCAGCCTGTTCCAGTGCTCTGCCACCCTCAAAATGAAGAAGTTCCTCCTCATGTTTAGATGGAACTTCTTATGTTCAAGTTTGTGCCCATTTCCTCTTGTCCTGTCAGACAATTTTAAAATATTGCATTCTATAGCTACAGATACCAGCAGCAGCACGGTTTAACTAGTACATATAGTTTATACTAACTACTTTATTTATATTCCCACTGTCCAAAGCTTTACATGTCCTGTGTTTCCACCTCTCTTCATATTATCACGACTATTTCTCAACTTGCAGCTACACTGGAGGTATTCTGATGGTGAAGAATCCCAGCCTTCATACATGAAGGACAGTCTGCAGAATGTACACAAAGCATTGGGTTTCTGGGTATCATTATTCACTACTGAAAACAAACCTACTGCGGTGTCCAAGCCACATGTCAACAGAAGATCTCGAACTGTCACCAGCAGGTGCACCAGAGCAGCGTGTCTGAACAGCATGATGTCTTTCTCATCTACTTTACCTTTACAAATAGAAGAAATAGACACCGTCTGCATAAAATTGCAGAAATCATGCAATACGCACGTAAACAATTTAAAAGATGCTGGTATCTCAGAATTTTCATTGAACACACTTAGACAGACATAATCTTGAAAGGTCAGACCTCATGATCTTGGCAAACAGATTATGATACAGCATAACTTTTCCCATGTCACCTGATCCAGAGCAAGGAGCACATAGGGAAGTCTTTTTGAAAGGTGGGTAGGGATAGATGGTTCTGGAGGAGGAGGTAACAGTCTCTCTAGGTGTGCCATTAAATCCACACTGCCTTACTGATTTTAGTAAGGCAATCTTTAAATATATACAGAAGTTTTTAAATTTCCCATCTTCGGTCTGTCATACAAGCCTAGCTGTTCACATTACTCATCTGATCAGTCAAATCACTATATTTTTTAACAGCACTGTAACTCCTCCTAACCCAAGTATAAAATCGAAATATTTCCAGGGTGGAACCCAGCAGCAGCTGGTATGCGAGGAATCCGCTCCATCTGCTATTCTCTGAACAATATTGCTTGCAAAGCAACACGGAGGATGGAGTGGAGTGAAGATTCCATGGTCAAGCTCTGTGATCATACAGGAAATGCAGGAATGAGATGGTCCTATGGAACTGATAAGCTGCAAATTTGCCACCCTGAGCCAACAGTCTGTCAAATTTTGATGAAATGTTGTCCTTTGTGTGAACTTTGCTCATTGTAATGTCATTGTAATACCAAAACACACCTCCATCCCGAAGGCTCCTGCCTCCAAGGTGTGACCATTCCTTCTTGAGTCTGCTCTCTGAATTTTTCGTAAACTATACCTTTAAATGTGAGGCAAGAGAATTTTACACCAATCATAATAAAGGTATTTATGACTAGACTCACTAAAACTCCACCTTGAAGGTAAAAAATAGTATAAAAATAACCCAAGCAAGGGCAGATACTAGGGAAGACACCATTGTGAACAAGTCAAGGAGGACTCTATCACAGACTGCCTTTGACTTCTGGGACTTAGATTACACCGAGTGCTTCCTTGGGAAACTTAGAAATCTCTCAAGAGGGTTACTTTTTTACATTTATAGCCAGGCTGTATTGTTTGTAATCCTGTTGCGCGCTTAGTACCATTAACAATATTTTAACTTGCATGTGCTTTGCAGACAGTGTATTTATCACCAGCAATCCATATGAGCCTTTGTACCTGTTGCTTAAATAAACTACACTATTTAAGTAGCTAGTTATTTCGGTTTCTCATTGAACGTGACCAAACACTAGAGAGGCTGTGCTAGTTCATGAGCATGACTAGGTGCAGCACACTATAAGTGTATGTGGTGTATCTGGACTACACTATCAGTGTATCTGGAATTGTGATACACTGATAGTGGTGAATTGGGCATCACTCAGAACTTAAACCGAGCTGCACCTAAGCCTCCCACCTCAGCAAGGAGTGCTAGAACGCAAGGGGGTTTATTTTCTGCCAAAATTGTTTTGTCTCTTAAGGCAACAAGTAGTTCTCTGTACACTTTTTTCAGCAGTGCTTTTCCTTTCTGATACAGATACAGATACAGATACTGATATTCTCCATCATTTTTGTAAAGATGGCATTTGTTCTTTTGTAAGCTCCCTCAAATTAAGAGAACCCTGCTGCCAACAATTTTAAGATGGTAATTCTATAGATCACAGGCTATCATTCTGCAGAGACACTAAAATTTTTTTTTTTTTATTTGCCTTCTCATTTACAATTTCATTACCTTTATTTTGAGAAAACTACATGCAGCACAGAAAGCAATAAAGTTGAGATAGCTAAAGTTCATAGCAGAACTTGTAGCATAATATAAAACCTTGGCAGGTAGTAGACGGCCTGCTATGTTATCCTTACAACTGTTTTTCAACTATGAGCGGTACAACTCAAAAAATAATCCAGAATACCCAGTAGCTTTCTAAATCTCCCTGAAACACAGCCTGTATTTTGCTGTGAGGTCTTCCTGACCCTCTCTTTATCTATAGCCAAAAATCTTTGTAAAGGGTTTTTTTGGTGGCTGGCTTTTTTAGTAATTTTTCTGGTTTTATAGGGTTTTCACATGCCACATAAGAGAGAAACAGAGTGAGAAAGAAAACAAATTAACATAATATTTTTTTCTCCTGATTTCTAACATGGGTTTAGCATTTTGAATCATGCAGATATGACAAATAATACCTACTAAAAGGAGAGAAACAATAAAAACACATTGACAGCTTTTAATTTTAAAATCTAGCATAAAAAAACCCACATTGTTTGATATAGAAGCAATATTTCTGAAGCATATCTAAATATTTTAAAATTCAATTAAACTAGAATACTTTTTGTATTACAATATTCAGGTTAATGTGATGCTGATGAACTAGAAGACATTATCTTGGAAATAAAAGAGTAAATCAATTACTATAACTCTAGGAGACAAACTGCTGAAAGTCTTATCATTAATTTATTAAACATCTTAAAACTTGTGTCAACAATTAAGCCTGTATTAATATTGAAGAAAAAAACAATGATTTTTTTAAAAACACATACCTTCTTTAAAACAATCACATATCACTTTCTCTTGCTGTTTTAAGAAAAACCTTGTATGATCAAATTTAACGCTGTCAAAGCTCCAGTTTACAGAAGCAAGTACACGCAGATGTGTCAAATCCTTTAGAACAGGAGCGGCTGCTTCTTCCAAGAGGCAATATGCCTGGCATTGGCTTTCTGGATACACAATAAACAAAACATAATAATAAAGTTTGGTCTCATGTACTACCACTGGACAAGAATATTCAAAAGACCTAGCAAAACACAAACACCACTGACTTCTTCATGGAAGCTGTAACATTAATAGCAAAAGCAGTTGCTTGCCAACGAGCCTCCTGGGTGGTAGAATTAAGTTGATCCTCACAGCAGGTAACCACATTATCCTGTGCATTTCAAAAAGTGATCAAACTCCATGATGAAAAGTTAGGATTTTCTACTCCTGTGACTCCCATTAAGATTGTACTATTATTCCATTGCTCCACAGCCACCTTCTATTTCATAGTCTAAACTTAGACTTAGTCCCTTTAAATCCACTTGTTACTACAACTTCAACATCCCTTCTCTTCCCTGGTATTTAACTTCTAATGTCTTTGTCTAGCAAAGCTAAACAAGCCAACCTGTTAGTCTCTTTGTGTTTTCATGCTACCAGTTCTTAATAGTTTCTGAGTGGCTGTTTTACAAGTCTTTCCAAGTTATAACTGAGTTTCTTGCTATTAGCATCTATGACAGAGCTGTCAGTCTCTGAATGACTTGAAAGGGATGTCCTTTTCCTCAGGTAGGAAGGTAAAACTCTCCATACCCATTATTAAAAAATTATAGTTCAGTTGATCACATCAACAAGACCAGAACTCTGTGGTTCTTCATTTTCAAAGATTTATTATTACTTTTCAAAAATATTTTCAACTGATCTATATGAATTATTTAATTTGACTAGCAGCTGACTTCACTTGGTCAATGCACTATTTCATAAGCAATTAATAACTCCATATTTTTAAGCATTCAAAAAAAGGTATATTATTGTGTCCAGTTTTTCAGCCTTTAGGGAAATAGCTCAGATACGATATATTTTGGATGGTAGTTATATAATTTCATTCGGGAGTTCTTCTATTAATGCATAATTTTCTTTAAAAAATACATTTCTAATCATGCACCTTCAATGTTCCGCTGCTGCTGTGTGAATGTTCTGCTTGTGTGAATCCTTCTAATCCCTGTTTTGGCTATCACTTGTTTTTGAGAGAGGTTTGTTTTCTTCATTTGCAAGGCCACCATGGTGAAACACTGTGAAACTTTATTTCAAGGACAGTAATAGGACATTTAGTCCCAACAAATACTACCTTTGCAAAATGATAATTTTTGATTTGACTGCAGAAAAGAAGGGACAGGCATCCTGGGAAGAGTATAGGGATGCTGCCAAGATGTGTAGGAATGAGGTCAGGAAGGCCAAGGCACAGCTAGAACTGAACTTGGCAAGGGACGTAAAGAAAAATAAGAAAGGCTTCTACAGGTACGTTAACCAGAAAAGGAAGGTTAAAGAAAATGTACCCCCCCTGATGTGCAACAGTGGGGAACTTGTATCAACAGATGAGGAGAAGGCAGAAGTTCTCAATGACTTCTTTGCCTCGGTCTTCACTGGTAACCCCCTTCCTCCTAGTTCTTGTGTTGATGACAAAAAAGTTGGAGACCAGGGTGACAAGGTCCCTCCCACTGTAAGTGAAGACAAGGTACGAGATCAACTCAGGAGCCTGAAGATATACAAGTCCATGGGACCTGATGAGATACATCCCAGAGTCCTGAAGGAACTGGCTGACGTAGTTGCCAAACCACTTCCCATGATATTTGAAAAATCATGGCAGTCAGGTGAAGTCCCTGCAGACTGGAAGAAGGGGAACATCACACCCATTTTTAAAAAGGGTAGAAAGGAGGACCCTGGGAACTACCGACCTGTCAGTCTCACCTCTGTGCCTGGGAAGATCATGGAACAAATCCTCCTAGATGCCATGCTTGGGCACATGAAGGACAGGGAGGTAATCCAGGACACCCAACATGGCTTTACTAGGGGCAGGTCCTGCCTGACTAACCTAGTGGCCTTCTATGATAAAGTGACTTGGTCAGTAGACAAGGGGCAACCTATGGATGTGATCTATCTGGATTTCTGTAAGGCCTTTGACACGGTCCCCCACAACATCCTGATTGCCAAATTGGAGGGGTACGGATTTGATGGGTGGACTGTTCAGTGGATAAGGAACTGGCTAGATGGTCGCATCCAGAGGGTAGTACTCAATGGCTCAAAGTCCAGATGGAGACCAGTCACAAGTGGTGTTCCTCAAGGGTCCGTGCTGGGACCGGTGCTGTTTAACATTTTTATCAATGATATAGACAGGGAGATTAAAGGCACCATCAGCAAGTTTGCGGATGATACCAAGCTGTGTGGTGTTGTCGATACACCAGAGGGACGGGATGTCATCCAAAGGGACCTGGACAGGCTGGAGAGGTGGGCCCAGGTGAACCTCATGAGGTTCAACAAGAGCAAGTGCAAGGTTCTGCACCTGGGCCGGAACAATCCTCGCCACCAATACAAACTAGGGGGTGAGGTATTAGAAAGCATCCCTGAGGAAAGGGACTTGGGGGTGCTGGTGGACGAGAAGCTGGACATGAGCAGGCAGTGTGCAGCTGCAGCCCAGAAGGCCAATCGCATCCTGGGCTGCATCAAAAGAAGCGTTGCCAGCAGGTCCAGAGAGGTGATTCTGCCACTTTACTCTGCTCTGGTGAGACCTCACCTGGAGTATTGTGTGCAGGTCTGGAGCCCTCAATATAAGAAGGATATAGACCTGATGGAGAGGGTCCAGAGGAGGGGCACAAGGATGATCAGGGGGATGGAGCACCTCTGCTACAAGGGCAGGCTGAGGGAGCTGGGGTTGTTCAGCCTGGAGAAGAGGAGGCTCTGGGGAGACCTAATAGCAGCCCTCCAGTACCTGAAGGGAGCCTACAGGAAGGCTGGGGAGAGCCTGTTTAGAAAGGCCTGGAGTGACAGGACGAGGGGCAATGGCTTTAAACTGGAGGGGAGCAGATTTAGATTGGAGATTAGAAGGGGGTTCTTTACTGTGAGGGTGGTGGAGCACTGGAACAGGTTGCCCAGGGAGGTGGTTGAGGCCCCATCCCTGGAGATATTCAAGGTGAGGCTCGACGAGGCCCTGGGCAACCTGGTCTAGTTGGGGGTGTCCCTGCTGACTGTGGGGAGGTTGGACTAGATGACCCTTGGAGGTCCCTTCCGGCCTGGGAAATTCTATGATTCTATGATTCTATGAAAAGCTTCAAATTTATTCCAGCTCCATTAAAAGACTGTTGCTTCAAAATTTATTAAATAATTTAAAAATAAGCTAATAGCTGTTACGTGATTCCCATCTCTGATGGGAACAAATCCAAATAGTGCTGTTACTCTTTCATGCTGGTTCTGTGAAAGAGACTCTCCATTAGGCACAGGGTTTGAGTGAATGCATTTCCATGGAAGACCAAACTAATCTATGCTAGGGCTACAACCTCCCAGCACTGCATGCTCTTAATCTGAGGGTGTAAAAATCTTGGATAAATATCTTCCAGGTTCTTCTCCACCATTTCTACTGCATGACAAAATTGCTGTCAGTGCATGTTCTTTGATACAATGAAACGTGCAACAGCAAGAGTTCACAGGGAAACGCTCAGTCATGTCTGAGATAAATCCATAGTGGATTACTACTGTGTTAAAGACATTTCCTACCAAAATGACTGCCAATGCTTTCCACTTCCCACTCTCATTTACTTTTCAGAGAAAAAAATGCAGAATGGTAATTTGAGGGCACTGATTGGCATGAAGTGATCTCATGTCTGCTGATTTAGATCAGATACAGCTCAAAGTCTGTGCTTCTTAGTTTGCATGCAACCGGCTTTTCTTAACTGGCTTTAGTCTTAAAACAGAATTCCATAGCCTGTTCTCACACCTGTATCAAAATAAATATGCATCTATTTGGAATCTTTTCAGTCACAAGGAACAACGACTAAGCCTAATAGTTTCCATATTTTCTGAGTAGTACTAATTAACATAAAACGATATTGCAAAGCTATACAAAATAAAGAATATCCAAAAAAAGCATACCTGATGCTTTAATACTGACTGTGACACTGTCCTCATTCTCTGGTTCTTTTTCTTCTATTTTTGCAGTCTCACAAACAGAACTGTCCTCTTCGTGAACTTGCATATGTTGTTCTTCAGGCTGTGGCACTAAATCATTAAACAACAAGGGAACATTTAGATACAAATATCACAAAACCAGCTCAATGAATAAGAAAACTGTTCTATAAATGACTCTACATGCAAAAACATTATCAAGTAGTTTCTATGACACATACATTTTCTATTAATAAACATCCTTATTTTTTTCCTGACCTGGGAAAATTCAAGAGCTGGTATTATAGCTCTATAATGTATCTCCATAGGAAAGCTCATATGCCTTTATATGGAGAAAAAGCATGTGTAAGAAGATAGATGCTGCTGACTCTGAGGAGCTCAAATTATTAAAAATGTCTCATTGAGTGCAAGTAGAGAAGGTTAGATACTGTAAGAGAACATGGAAGCTGCAAATGGCAGGGGGAAGAAGCCCCCAAAAAATTGCTTATTGAAAAGAATTTTTTTCTCCTGTCTTACAGCTATCTTGTGTGACATATTAGCATTTCTAAGTCTCCTTCCCTTCTTCTTTATAAATACTGATGCAGGAGCTACAGCTTCTGTCCACAAAGCTTCCTTTGGTGGCTCTACCTCTTTATTCTGTGAGGAGTTCTGCCTGAATAGTGTCTCTTAAATATTGCTGTTTTTTTCTAGTTAAGAGTGTCAGAAAACAGACTGCTCTTACATAGAACAAAAAGAAAGAACAATTTTTTCAAAAAAAAGAAACACCTTTCTGATTTTGAAAGCTATACAGGGCTCAAAATTGGATCAATAAAGTGTTTCTACTAATTCCCTCCTGTGTGTTTTCTGAACTAAATATTATACACAATGACATCTTTAAATAATAAGACAAACAACGAAGACAGTAGAGAAAGAGCCCTACAAGCAGTGCTGGCATTACTCATTTCCAGTTAAATTTAGAATGACCCTTGATAAAAACTTTTCACTGTTACAAAAGCATACAATAATTTACGTAATTTCTACATCAAACTGGTAAGACCAACAAATTTTAATGGGCTCTCTATAGATAAGACATAATTGATCTGCAACATTGGGGTCTACCAGTAAACATATTCTAAACTGCATTTAACTCACTTAAAACTACACAAGCCTATTTGTAAATGCAACATAGCTTGTCTTTCAATACATCTGGATTTCTTGCTAGGAGATGCAGTTCTGGACATAGTTCACTAGATGGTAGCATCAAACTTCAGTTCAGGTACTGTGCTCTCCTACTGTTAAAATCGGGATTGTTACTTTCTGAGGCCATGGAAGTGTTTTGCACATGTCTACCAGTGTCAGTAACAGACGAATTTTACCAAGAAATAATTTCCTCCACAAGATTACCTAAGCTTGCAATTAAGTCCCAATTCTATTGTATAGAAGTTATTGCTGAAAGGTTTTAAGCAACAGTTGTAATTTTTTTTTTTCCTTTTTTAATTCTGGGACATATAACTGAAACACAGATAAAGGTGATTGTCAAAATTCTACCATACAAATCCCTAAAAGATTTTTTTTTTTTTAAATACAATTTTATCCTGAAAAGTGGATCTGGAAATATATCAGTGTCTCCCAATATTTTGTGTCACAAATATTTCTTTTTTAAAACAAATAAGGACTTTCTTCTACTTCTTTTCCCTCTCTGCTATTTTGCATTTCTGCCATGCTCAATGCATAGTCTGTGATTCTTTCATAAGCATTGTCATCAACAAGAACAATGCTACCAACAACTTCCTGTTTTCCCTAAGACCTGTTTGGCCTCATTGTTTGATGGGGTTTGCATAAAGGTGACTGGCACAAATGGTTCTTTCCAGAGAATAACTTTAACTCTTCTTTATTGCCTAGGCTATGTCGGTTTTACAAAAGTAAAAGTATTAATAATTACTATTTGATAGCTACAATTTATTTGATAACTACAACAGATAAGTACTATTTCTACAAAGAGAATATATGGATAGAAGAGATCTTATTGAATAAATACCATTTAGAGTTACTTTGTCAGAATAAGAATAAAGTCAGATGTTTATTTTATTAAAAACCACTTCCACAACCAACAAAAAACCCCAAACCCAAAACCAAAGTACCCCTCAAAACAAAACAAAACAAACAAACAAAATTCCCTGATTTCTAAAGGAAAAAAAAACAAGAGCTAAGATCCTTAGCTGAAAATTCAGCTACATAAAGATCATAAAAATGTAACTTCAAAGGATATTTTTACCCATAGATCTACTTAGAGGAACTAGCATTTATTGTAACTGGAATAAGAGACCAGATTTAAACCTGGAAAATGGCACGCTAATCTGGTTCACATACCTTTTCTAGGACTATCTATGTCATTTTCTTCTTCTTTTTGGGTGAGTGTGTGTTTAGATCTCAGCATGATAAAGTTGCTCAGATCAGAATCATCATTGTCCCATTTTGTAGCAGGTGCAAGTGATGTAGGCTTTTGACTACTGGATGAGTTGTCTCGTTTAGAAGACACATCTTTACTGCTGATTGATTCAGATGTTTTGGTGGGTTTCTTTTCTTGGTTTAAGGAATAAATTGCTTCTTCTACATTACTCTTTCTTATGCTTCCTCCAGTGAGCTCTTCCACAGATGTATTTGTACTGTGAATTTTGGCAGATGGTCCAGCACTCACTTGCGGGGCAAAGCACTGCCTTTGAGTCCGTGGTGACATGGAAGGATTAATTACTTTGTCCAACTGATGTCTTTCAGCAGAAAGAAGCTCCTGGTTTGTCATGGAATTCTTCTCTTCAAGCCATCCTAAAAAATAACATTTAATTTATTCATTGCAACAGAGATTTTTTCTTTTCTTTCTCCAGGTTGGAGTTAAATATTTTGGGTAAGTATAGAGAAGGATTTTTTTAATTTCTGCTTTCCCAGGTCATTACAATCCGCTTTTAGAAAATTTGTACTGATCAGTCCTAAGTAAAAATGTACGACGTTGAGAAACAGAAGACCATGGTACTGCTTGGAAAAGTTCTCACCATCTGCATGGTGCTTAATGGTGTTAGATTTCTAGGAAGTGGGAAGCAACACATTTCATTAGGAAGAAAGATTAGAAGATTAACGGATTTTCTTTTTAGAGGAAAAAAAAAGTAAAGCATGCAATTAGCTCCCTTTAAAGATGTGCTTTCCTAGAACTAGAATTTTTTGCATTGCTCCTGCACATCCATGTTAAACACAGTAGCTAAACACTGTATGATAAGTAAAAAGCAGTTAAGTGGAAATATTCTTTCCTGAGCGGTGTCTGTTTCACAATAAATCCTGTTACACAATGTATCTTATATACAGAGTATATAGTTAGTAGAAATCCTTGGAGTTCTACAACCACAACTGGTACCTTGCAGTCAGGATATAGTTATATAATAAAATCGAAATAAATTCTTGCATATTCTGTTACAGTTTGATTATAAGTATGCAAAATGGTCCATGTGTAAATCTGAGGTTTATGAGTGGTGCATGTTTGAAACAACAGCCAGCATACAACCCCCCCCCCCGAAGAGCATCATCACAAAATAAAGAATTTTCACTGTAACATACTGTCCCCACTGATCTTCTGCAGATAGGACTATATGTGTACCTGCTTTGTTAAAATACTCCAATGTAAATTTACTATTTGTTAAGAAATTCTCCTGTATTAAAAAATAGTATGGTGGTGGAGGCTATTTTTCATATACACATTAATAGAAAAGATAACTTTGTGTAGTTTAACACCTTTGTTCCTACAATTTGTTCTGAGGTTGTGAAAGTACACCTTAATTATTGTAGTTTTGCTACTACATATTGCTATAAACGTTTTGTTCTTGGGAATAAGAAATCTTCCATTTCCTTCCTTCTTGGAGGTATGTAACTGTCACTGTGTGATTCTCTGTTAAAGTATCTATCTTTGCTTTTTTATCACTTTTTTAAAAAAAGATACTTACTTTCTAACTGATATGATGTAAATTGTATGAATGTTTCTACTTCCGTGGGAAGCAAATGGTTTGCATTACTGGCATCCATATTTAATTGCTCCAAAGTTTCTATGGAGACTGGATTTAAACCCAAATGAAGCCACCAGCCCTCCTCTAGTGAGCTAAGCACTGGTGCTTCTACCTCAACTGGTAGCATTTCCTTCAATTCTGTAAGTGAATAACGCTGATATGCAAGTTTAACAGCCTGATGCTCTAGAAAAAAAACAGAAATAAACACATAACATTAATAATCTAGAAACATGAAAATAGAAGGTCATCTTGGAAATGAAACTCCCAAGTACTGATGACCTACTACATATATCCTTTGTCTGTAATTCCATTTGTAACTCAGTGTCATTAATAGATTTGAGAGCAAAGCAGTTGAGTGTTATCAGAGTAAGTATGCTTTTTAATTGTTGAGTATACAAGTAAACATTTTTCAGATCTTATAATGTGTAGATTCATTACTCAAGTTACAAATGATCTTGCTCATTATTTGTGGGTTTACTTGCCATGCTTACACAGACTTAACATAATCCTTACCTGAAAAAAAATGAACTTAAATAGTAATGAGCCTACCATGAATTATTTTCAACTATAAATGAATGTACAAATGAACTGGACAACATAATAAGTCAATATACATAACTTAATCCTGAGACTTGTAAAATGAAGGCAAATAAAATCAAATGAAAGAACAGTGGTAATAAGTATTCTGGCCTGGTCAGAATTAATCTGCACCTTATTTTGGTTTTGTGTATTTTTCTTCCTAACAAGAACTCTGTTCATATGAAGCTAATGTTTTCCATCAAAAGTACTTTTCTATTGATTGATAACATATTTTGAAACATTACTTAAGGAAAAATAGGATACAGAAAGAGTTCAACAGATTACCAAATTTCAATTACCACAGTTACTGAATATAATTAGTAGTGAGCCGAGCATTTTCACCATGAAATAAAACTCTTCCTTCATTCAAATTGCTTCCATAGAAGGATACATGGCATACCAACTTCTATGTTACCATACTGTAACTTTTTATCTGGACTAAAAGAATCACATAATCCAAACTTCAGAGCTTAGTTACATTAGTTGGATAAATTTCAATGGCTCAAAAGATGTGCTCTGTAATACAACATTAACTTTTTTTGCTATATTTTCTCCATGTACATGGAACTCTTCTACATCAATTAAAAATTGTTCATCAATTAGAAATCCTTACCAACAAGCAAAAGAGAGTTCATATTATCCCGATACTTCTCTGATTGCCATGCCAAACATTCTAAGTTTTTCCTAGAGGGCTCTGTAATCAAAATACTAAGAACATAAAACAAGAGTTGGAGGTATGAAGCTAAAGAGTGTTACCTGTTGAATTTCAATTTATACAAAACTACCTTTTAAAGATCTACTTTCCCTCTAAATTTTCAGTTCATTCATTCATTTACTCATTCATTAAAATTTCTTCCTGTTCATATAGAGGGTCATTTCATGCAACATTGTGGTGAACAGGAAGGAGCGAGAGGAGCCACCAAGGCTGGTTCATGAAGTAAAGCAACACTGAACAAGAATTCTACCTAGAAGGTGGTTCCCTCCTGAAAAGGATATTTAAATTCTTCGTGCATATGTGAGAGAGATAGCAAGGCAAAAAAAGCTAGTCACAAATAAGAAGAGAAGGAAAGGCTGAAGCAATCCTAATCCTATGTCAGCATGAAAAGGCTTAAATTCCATTGCTGGAAGGTATCCCCAAAACACAGAAAATACTTTCCTCTTGCACCTCTTCTGGAGATTATTTAGGTGATACTTGTTCAACATAAGTGTTTGCCGTATTTATAAATATATGCATATACACACATAACATACTTGATATACATAGATATTTACTGTTGCCTACTCCAAAAAGGAAATTCAATTTTCAGGCTATTAAGTCCCCCCAAAGAGAGAGGTCTATAATAGCAACTGTCATTTCCTTTTTCAAACTCCCTTGAAAAATCACAGCTATGGATCATGCACTCTGTTCACTTTTTCACGCAAAACACAAAATATATGCAGCTGTCTCAAAGAACGTAACCACCAGTTCCAAATGGACTATAGTTATTTTTTGAATGATTTTGAGGATTTATGATGTAGACAATTTATGACAGGACTTACTACTACAAAATTTTCATTACCTGTTACCAGAAAGAGGAATAGGTTCTTCTTGAAGTCCTGTGCACAGAAAATTAACCCACAATCTTTGTTGTCTGCATGGAGGGGTTAAAGGTACATCCATTTCGTCTTTCAGATATGGAACAGATTTCGCTAGAAATTGCATAAAGCCTCACCCAAAACAAAAATAAAAAATCCAAATCACAAAGCTACTTGTGAATGAAATGCATACTTTCAAATTTTACACTAGTGAAGTTTTGGATTAAAATACAGAATCTTTTCATAGGACATACTTAAGCAACAAAACCCAAATACTTCACATTTAATTTCCAGACAGTTTGGGAGCAATAATGTGCAGATCACATTCCTTTACTCATTCTGTAATGTACTTCTGGCTACATACTCTTCCCATTAAGATTATTTTTATTATTAAATCACCAGGAACTGTGGCTGAGGTTTTGATGTTAAGTGTTCATCCCTGTTGGCTGCCTTAGATAGTTGCTACATAAATGAAGTTAATTAGATGGGAGAGAGACTTCAGACAATATTGCAGTGGCTTTAACATTCGGATGAATGGACACAGGAACTTCAGAAATAGACAGGATTTTAAAGACAAAATTACTCTTCTAAGCAGAATTAGTACTCATCATAATTTCAAGGGATTACCACTGAAATGAATTACAACACCAATTTTTTTAAAGCAGTATGCTTTAAAATAAAGCCAAACAAACCTGGCATGTTGTAACTCCCTTTAAAGTCAGTTTTCACATCGGTTTTTTTGGCTAATCATATTAAATATGAACATTTTAATGGATTATTGCTTTTTATTCTAATAAGGAATTTGCAATTTCATTGATTTTGGTGCATTCCATAAAAACTGGCAGTTTGCACAATTTCTCTGGTATTCACCTCTCAGTGATTCTTCTAATAATATTTCTTGTTAGGCTTAGCCAGAAAGTAAATGTCACAAAAGGTACAGTTCCTCTATGTTCTGTAAAAACTAACAGCCAGAAAAATTGTAATTAAGTGCCTCCATAAGGAAAAACACTTGTAACAAATTCCCTATTCATTCCAACAGGCAGTAAGCAGCTGCAATCACCATACACACATTGTTTGGCCAGCCAGCACGCAGCAGGCAATGGACCAGCCACCTGCCCAGCTCCTCATAGCTCTCAACCCGACCTAACAAGCAGGTTGCATGGCAGGAAGGGCAGGAAGGATAAAGGACAGCATTAGAAAGCCAGAGAACGTACAGTACACACAAGGTAAGAAATAAAAGTGGTTACTAAAGAAAGAAACAGATTTCCACTCAGTGTAATTTCTTTCCCATTTACTTAGAATCAAAAAAGCTCAGTGAACTTCTGCTGTGAACTTCAGCTCACAAATATTTTTTTGCAATGAGAAACAATTTTAGGACTTTTCTTTGAATAGAGCAGGAGTTGATCTCAGGACAGCAGAAGTTCCTGACATATCTAAAATGAACAGATATTTCTCTCTGAGCAATACTGTTCCTATTAGTTCTTGTCTAGTTATTTTTACCTTTGAGACTGGAACACTTTGACCAGCTACATTATTTAAACTCTGCCTACACTCAGGGTGCCATTCCCCTTCTCAGAGCATTAATGACTGAGTGAATTCTCTTGTCCCTCAACCCCTTTTATCAATAAACCATCCCCATACCTAGCAGGAGAGGAAGGTAAACAATGAAATGTTTACAGAAAATGCCATTATTTTATGACTGTTTCTTCTCTTCAAGCAAACTTATTTCACATCTGGTAACTCATAAATAACAAAATTAATGAGAAGGAGAAGACTGTAGGGTATCGCTGCTGAAATTTTACACCCAATACAGGAACTTCCATAGTTAACAGTGCCTTAGCTGAGCATGTACAGGTTTGCAGGTCTCCATCCTACAGATCTGAGTATACTTGGGAAAAAAAAAAAAAAAAAAAAAAAGAAAACTGTTGTGCCACAAGACTTCTTCCCTGAAGTCTCTTCAGTATTCTTTATCCTGGAGAAAACAAATCGAATTTCTTCTATCTTTTATTTCTATACCTCTTCTCATATTACTTCTTTTTTGCTTGACTCTCCCTGTTTTCTAAACTTCTTAAAGCCCACGTTGGAAACCTCCCCTAAATAGAACACAGCAGAATAATTATTTCATGTTTTACAAATGCTTTTGCTTGGAGAGATAAGAACCAAGCAGCCAGAAGGGGAGAATCGAAGTGATAAACTATGTGTGAACACCCAAGACCACTGGAATCAAAGTGATAAACCGTGTGTAGACACCCAGGACCACTGGAATCAACATGATAAACCATGTGTAAACACCCAGGATCACTGGTATTCTACTTGAGAAGACATTCTGAAAGGAACAGTATGTCAAAAAAAAAAAAAAAAAAAAAAAAGACATGGAAACTGTCTGTGCACCAATGACTGACTTTTCCCTGATTCAGTGGCAGAAAGAGCTAAGCCAGCAAACTGGCAATAAAGATTAATGCCATCACTTTCTTTTAAAAACAATTCAAGATGGTTTGACTACTCACCTATTCCAGAAGAATGCACAATGTCCTGGATAAGATCATAGTCAACTTGCTATTACTGTATGCAGGAGGAGGGTCCCAAACTGCTCAGATCTACTGCACTTAAGATCCTCCTGCTTATCATAAGCTTTAGAAGTAAGGAGCAGTCAGATAGCTCGCTAGATTCAGATTACAGTTAGTCATGCTAGGCAATAATCTCCAGACGGAAACTAACTTTAACTTTGTCTTGGTGGGACAACATATGGTGGGTTTGCCCTGAGCTTTCATATCAGACAGTATGAGTGGATATAGGATTGCTCCTACCAAAAGCCCACTACAACACAATATTAGGACAGTGGTTCTACCAGTCGGAAGGGGACAACCATCAGTCCAGTTTAAATCATATTGAAACTAAGACAAGAAGAGGGATCTTGGTCTGGAGAAAACTCAGAATTTCTCAAGGATTTGAGTAATTGCTGGATGGAAAACTACCGAGTGAACAGGCACTGGAGGGTAATACTGCTGCTGTCCAATGCGATAATGGACAGACTTTTTCCAAGACAGGTTATACATTAGGAAGAAAGCTATATGTTCATTCAAGTATTGCCACTCTGCCCAGATCACATCCATTTGTAAATGTCACTCTTTGCATAGGCTTTTCTACATGAAATTAAAGGCGATTACTCCTGGAACCTGAAGAAATTTTAACTGAGGCTGGATAGTTAGTTTGATCAGTCAGACACCAAACCTGTCCAGCATTGATATGCATTGTGACCAGCATACCTGGCTGAGTTTTCAAGCTATTAAATGTGGGTACATGTAAAGGATTTCCTGACGCCAGTGTAGGGGAAGCCAGGATTCAACACCAGCATTAGCAAATATCCAACACTTCCAGCTTATTTCTGTGGAAAACAGCTCTGGTGACTACGTGACTTAATTTCTTGACCACACAGCATTACTGAACCACCTACAAACCAAAATGTCTGCACAGGAGTTTTGCCCCTCAAGAAGATATAAACTTAGTACTTCTCTCTGGATCCTCCTCCATCACCATTTTTTGAAAACATTTGTGTAAGATTTTAACAAACTGTGCTCTTTGACTCCCTGATTTTAATCAATCTGCCTTAACTTTCCTTTGCCCTCTCTGGGTAGATAAGTTGCTAAATAAAAAAAATCTAAAAAGCTAATCAAGTGCAAAAGATATAGACGCCACTTGCAGCCAAAAGCAACATGAAGGTGCTGTGAAGCTGGTTGTAGTATTTAGCTTTCAAAACCTTTGAAAGGAGTATAGCACTTCCACCTGTTTCCAGTTCAGGTACAAAATAGCAGATTCCACAGGGGAAACATCTTAAATCTATATGACACATACACTCCCAAGAACAGAATATGGGAACAATCACTTGAAGAATTTATTTTAAGTATCATCCTTCGATTTATGTAGATTTTCCTACCTGACTCACAGAATTCCAACATACTTCTGCTATTAGTGGAGCAAACCTCTTCTGGTTTGGGACAGTACTTGGAAATTTCTATTGCATATGCAATTTCTGCTTTAAGATCTGAAAACAGATTTTAAAAGGTGCCATAAATGAACCATTATTCTTTTTTCCTGTCAGAGCAATCTTTTTCTTTCAATCTTTTTATTGAATCTCCAAAAGATATTGTTCTGAGAAATTACAGTTATGCTTAGTAACTCAAATGCCATAGCTGATCAGTGTAGTGCTCAGTCTCATTCCTTAAAAGTGCCAGAAAAAAAATCCAATATATAGTCACTGTCTGAACTATTCAAAGTTATTATGATTAATTACAGTGCTGTGATTTCCGGAGTAAGTAGGTAGTCTAAATGTAGTTTACCAGGAGTTTGTGTATGTAGATTCTCTTGCTACTAAAACAGACTAAAAAAGAGTAATAGTTTGATGTATACATACAAATCCTCAAACCTCTGCAGTGGAGGTCATGTCATTCAACTTGGAGCATGGCATGTAGGTTGTGATGTACTAAATGTATCAGGAATGCACACGAAACTGCCTTAGCCAAACACACACTTTTAAAAGTTTTGTTCCTGTCTTCAATAAGAGACACCAAAGCATTGCCCTCTCAGAACCAGAATTTGGCACACACCCTCAATATTCAGAAGCATGAATCTTGCCTCTTTGAGATGCTTCTTATCCACCAAAAGCGTGGTTTTCCTCAATTGTTTGCCAAAACCAATGCAAACTGTTTTTAATCAAAACTAAAAAAAAAATATCTCAGGATCTGTCTTTTTCTTTTAACTACACAAAATACTATCATAGATATCAATCCGACAACCAATAACTGTCATTAAAATTGTACTTATCTGTAGTATAGAAGCATTTAGTAACATTTCTTAAGTTCCTTTAAAGAAATTACTACTGCCATATAGAATATTCCTGTTATCCATGGAACTATTTGACCCCCTTTTCCCCAGAAATCTGCTTTTGTGTTTGCAGTTACAATGTAACACAAGCAATTTTTACAATATGACTGCACTGCATATAATCCTCTTAAAGGTGTCTCTGAAAGTAGATGAAATTACAGATAAGAAAAAAATAACACTAAATTATTATATTTATGGTAGACTGGATATCATGAGTCACGGCTTATGTTACATTTGTTTCCAAGATTACAACACAACCATGGATTGATCTAAATGGTGAATAGTTTACTTCCCCTTGACTACTTGGGGAGGCATTTCTAATACTCAGAAATTTGAGTATAGCTCATACAGAGAAACTGTCGTTTGATAGGCTATGAGGTAATCCACAAGCGAACCGAATACAAAAGAGCTAGATTGCATTAAATGGGTGCAAATGAAAGGAAAATTAGGGGTAGCATTTAAGAAAACCAATCCTCACCTTCTTTGATTACCTCTTTGTACCTGTCTTCATCAGCCATAGTTTCTGGAACTAAATTCAACAACTCTTTCACTTCCACATATGATGGAATCTTAACAGAATCTGATCTGCCATTGCTGGGTTTGCAGAATTCTAACTCAACAGGCAACGTGAAATACTGAAAAATATTAATCACAACAGAACAGTAAGTAATTTTCCTTTGATGTTACTGTACAGTCAAAGCTCTTTCAAAATCTCGAAATAGCTTAATTCTAAATGAATCTTAGGGCTTTTAAGAAAGAATTCATACAACTTTTACACAGCATACACAAAGATTTGCTCAATACAAAGAAAAAAATAGTGTTACAGTATTTCACATTGAGTCAGTGGAGTTACTTACAGTTACAAATCATGTAAAATCCTCATTTATTTAATTGAAAGTTTGTTTTTTAGAATTTTGAAAAGTGGAGCAAAAAAGTAGATTTTGCATCTTTTAAAAAAGTAACCAAGCTGGACATTTCCTAATTATGGAAATATGAAGGCTACAAATGCTCAGTGAGTACAAAAAGAATTCAATAAAATGACTTGCAGACGAACAAACACTTATGCATAACACAAAGCAATTGCTAATATAGTGCTTAGTAAGAAACAACATGATGATACCTCTTCATCTTTTACAGATATGGTACAGAAGTTCTCTTTAATCCCCTGCAATTCTTTTTTAACCTCTTCCATCTTCATTTCTTTTTGGAAAGTCAAACATTCCCTTTAAAAGATTATAAAATAAAGCAAGTGACTTCTTTGTATTATGTCATATCTAAGACTAAAAGTTTTAACAGTTGCTTTGATAGCCCTATGTGTGGCAAAAGTTTTTTTTTTCTAAATACATGCCTTTTAAAGAAAGCAATTCCAAGGCATGCTGTACCAATCTGTGTAATTAACTGAAATTATTTTTCAAGAAATAGTACGCTACATGCAGAGTTGAACCACTTAATATTGGGATCTGCCTTGAAAAAATTACAGAAAAAAACCATATTTAAATTTTTCATCATCTCAACACATAAGGCCTGCCATGTAAAAATGCTTTCTGCAAAAACTGCAGACCTAATTTTATTCTAATGACAAGTTTTTTTGCTCTATACAAAATTTCTGTAATCAATAATATTGACTTTATTTATCTTTTGGTTCATGGTAGTATATTTTTTCTCCTGTGACTGGCATTTCTGAAAGTCATTGCAAGATTTGGATCACATTCTCTTTGCTGGATATCTACAGTACTCACATGAGCATATAATTTTATGTCCAAAACTCATTGAGAGATCAGGGCTCATGTTTGCAAAACCAGGCAAACAGCCTCACTCCTCCCTGTTCTGTTGTTATATAAGTTTATTTAAATAATTTTAAATCTGTTTTGCCTTGCTTGTGAATCATGCAACCTTATCAAGTGCAAAGGAAGCTGCACAAGTGATGCAGACATGGAGTAAACAAGTGCAAAATGTAAACAGGCTTTATGAATGTATGTATACAGATGAATATAATTACAAAATACTAGGCACATTCTGGATATAACTTACATACTTCTTTTAATGTACCAGTTTGTTCAAATTCCTGACAATCAACAGAGCAATATGAAAGTGAAAAAAACCACACCATGAATAATTAAATTTACACTTGAAGAAACACAGTTCAGCAGGGTAAGAACATGGATTTACTGACAGCATGACTGAGAGGAGAGAGAAAAGGAACATGGGAGCATGTGTAAAATCCTGGCTCAACTAAATTTAGTGGCATTTTACTTAAAGGAAATCCATCAGTCTGAGGGAGAATCAGGTCCCTTAAAGATGGACATTTTTTCAATATCCCAAAACTAAAATCCTGAGCACATTTCACACTTACAGAGTGTAGAAATGACATAATTTCATTTATCCAATTTTCTTAAATAATGCATATACATTTCATCCTACTAATTTTTTCATAAGCAAGAAAAAAAGCTGAAGTCTTTACTGTTGCAAATACAAATCAGTTAAAAAGTTAACATACAACAGATTTAAAATGTTAATGGCGTTACACACAGAGTATTATTTATGTTTAATATTATACAACAATTTGTAGGTACCTGAAAATGTTCTCTTCTGTTAAATTCTGTCCTTCAGAATCTAAAAGGGGATCTTTTACTAGAAAATACTGTAGTCTGCTCAGAAGTACAGATGAAGAAGGCAGTTTTTTACGAAAATTTTCTAGATTATCAATAAAAACAAGTTCCTCTTCCATACATAAATCTAAAGAAAAATAAGAAAAAATACATTAACAAACAATATAAATATAACAAGACTTATCAGAATAAAGAGAATTTTTGAGCAACTGCTGGAATGCTGTAAATGCCAGCAAAATAATAACTGCTTTTTACTTTATATATTTTAAGATTTTTAAGCTTTAAATGCAACAAAGTCTATACTTCCAATGTTCTACATGATAAGCTTTGGTTTCTTTTGTTTTTTCTTTTGTCTAACATAATACCTGTTACAAAGAAAAGGTACTTTCTTTTCATTCCCTTGTTTGCATTGTAACGCATGATAAAGGAAATTTTCAGATAGATTTTGGCTGAGAAACTTAGTTCAGTGCAATTTTTAATGTAGAAATGAGGCAGTCTCTCCATACACATTTAAACCTAATCACGATTTTCTAATTCTGAAGCAAGAAAAATTTATGTACAAAACAAGCAGGCAGAAAATACAGGCTATAAATTATTCCTATTTCAAGAAAGATGACATTATAGTCCTTAATTTCTTTAGAATTTAGACTACTGCTCTCCAAGAGACAGAATTCATGCAGTAATCACAACTCTATTTGATGTAGTCCTTTATATTTGCAGTATAATGTACACATATATATACACACACATATTACACATATATATAGAAGGGCAAAAAGAATTCTTCGTTCTTCTTTCTTATTTTCTTTCTTATTTTTTAACAACATGAAAGCCCTCTCATTCCCACATCCCCCTTTCACTGCCTGTATGATTCCCTATCTGCAGTAGCTTTCCTTTCCTTCTTGGTGGCTGGGAATGTCACAATGTTCCACGTATGTCCCACGGAAATTGTTTTATGCTGCTAACACAAAAAGATCTCCATATAGTGGGAAAAAAAAAAAAAAGTGCCTTGTTAAAAAATGCCTCTGTTTAATGAGACAAACAATTCAGGAGAGGCTACTGAAGCTTCTAGTAGCCTAATAAGTTTAAACTATCTCCAATTAAACAACTGACATTTTCTGATACATAATCCCTGATCTATTCTTCTTCCCTCAGACAACCAGGAAAACAAAGTAGGAAGCACCTCAATATTTCAGCATATATTGGTCGCAAAAGTAGGTACTAAAATCAATCAGAAAATAAAGACTGCTTCAATGACATAAACTTGATCATGTTATCCACAAATAATAACTTGTTTAGTTTTTGCTAATTCACATAAAACAGGATAACTCCTAATATCCTAACACTATATCCAGTCAAATGAGGCACAACTTGATATGCATTTATTATCCCAATTTAGCTATACTTCTAATTATTTATATTATATTAATTTGTATTGTACCTTTTTATTATATGTGGCTCTAGTACTTAAATCATATTTAAAAAAAAAAAGTTTTTTCAATTAATCTCATTATGCTGCTGTGATTCAAATATTTTAATTAGTGCACTTCCTTGTTAATTTTAACCTCTTATTCTCCACTTCAGGAAAGCATGCCTATGCAAGAATGTATTTACACATTTACTGAAGTGCTCTCCTGATGTGAAACAGATGCAACCACATACCTAACTACTTTCACAATACACGGTTTTGCAACTGGAGCAATAGATACAGCTTGAAATTCACAAGTGCCAGTGTCTGAGATCCATACAAAACCGAATCGAGTTGCCCCTTTGTCATTTTAAGAAGTGAAGTTCCACATTTTTAATAGGCTTATTTTTCAGAATGGTAACTTGAATGCAGTATCATCGCTTTCTTTGATTCAGTAACTTCTGATCGTCAAAGGACTTTATCATCAAATGAACTTTAATAGTTTAAGCATGTACTCAAGTACTTTATCAATCAGGGAGCAAATATTGAGTTCATGTTTGAATGGGGTTTTTACTGCCAGTGCTGTCACGTGCTAGACTGTTAGCACTCCTCAGGTTAATGGTACAAAGATGTGTGTAGTTCCACTACACAGGGAGTTGGACTAGATGATCTCTACGGTCCCTTCCAACTCTAAAAAATTCAGTGAAATTCAGTGAAATTCAGTGACCTCTTTCTCATGACAGACTGCCTATGCAAAACACAAAGGCTCTTAACAGCATGCTAAATACTGAAAACTTGTTTGTAAGTATTGTAAAACTTGTAAGATTACTGTCTTTCAATTATTAACTGTAATGCACTTGCATTGTTGATACTATGTTCCTGGTAAATGTTATCTTGTACAATATTGTATCAAGAACCACATGCCTCCTCTGTGTGACTGTGGAAAAAAGTTCTTACTAAATGACTACATTACTTTCCTTTTCTAAAGTTATGTATTTGACAGAGAAACATAAACCCCTGTATTGAAAAATAAACCTGGTAGTTCAAAATAATAAATTGTAATACTGTTGAATCAAACACTTTCTCAACATTTTGCATTCTGTGATCAGAATTCATTGTACCTATTAGGGCGCTACTAATCGCAAATTTTCAGAAAACACATAGGAATACTACCCAATTTGAACTGTCTTCATCCCAGCAACAAAGCAGAAAAAGTTTACTACTTTCCTTCCTTGACATGGTAAAGGAACACACCACAAGGATCTAATTTTATTGAGGTACAACGCATCATTAACATTGTGATTTATGCCTGGTAAGAACTAGTTATTGTGATACTTTTTGTAACCTTCTGCCCTATATTTGATCAGTCTGAAACTTCTTTTAGCTTGCATCTATCTTGAACTGTTAAGACAAGCCCTGCTTCTCCAGGTAATCAATCTCTCTAAAATGGTTAAAACTTGTGCAATTACAAAGGCTGTGATCACCCAAATGATCTCTTCAATGTCTATGGATCACATACAAAAGATTATGGAAGTTAACAAGCTTACTTCATAAAAAGTTAGAAAACAGTGCATTAAACACTTTACCTTGCCATTGTTCTCTAAATTCAGTGGTATAGTTAGTCTTCAAATATTTGTCATGGGTGCATTCTTCTGAAAAAACATTCTTCGTAAGTAAAAAAAGTTCTTCTATGTCAGTCTGAGAGCAGGGATTTGAACTCGGAATAACTTCTATTAATTCATTACCAACATAGAACACTACAGAAGAGACAGGTTTCCTAAAAAGCAGCAAAAAAAAATTAAAAAAATTAAATTAAAAAAAAAAATCTTATACTTAAGCTGTTGTAAAAGCACTGTCATATCTACCCTGACTGCTCAGTGAATCAACAGCACTCAAAAAGATACTCTAAGAACTTTGATAACCACTGTATTCACTGGAAAAGATTGGAAATTGCAGACTTGTTATAGCTATTTACTAGATCCATGGTCAAATTATATTTTTAATTCTTCCCCCCAAAAATGTCTTTTAACTTTACCCCCAACATTAAACTTAACAAAAGGATAATGTCCAGAAAAAGCATGAAATCTGTCGATGTCATAACATCTACAACAAAAAATTGCTGCTGGGTTAATTGTACGGTCTTGTTGCAAAAATCATGCAGAAACTGCATGGACAGCAACAACTGCAATAGGGAAAAAGAAGAATAAATGAAGAAACAAAATCACTTTATTTTCCTGTCACTTTTCTTACTAATCTCAATACTATTACTAGCGGGAAAAAAAACCTGCTTGCAAAAAAAATAGTAAAATCATTTGACTACAGAAAAAACCCATCACAGTCCTGAGGTAATCATGCATCTGAACAAAATATTTGAATTGTTAATTAAAACGTGATCATGTTAATGCTGTTATCCATGTAAACTGACTCTTCCAAGTGCTGATGTTTCTGAATAACCGAAATTATCTGCTCCTCTATATCTATTGAACTCAATATTCTATTTTCAGACCATTGATTTCTCAACTGTGTATCCTATTGATTAATTCAGTTTTTAAATGCTCCTTTGCATTACATAATCTTGCTGTATGATAGCCATCTGGAGACAAATCTCGTAAATGGAATCAGTATACGAATGCACCTCTGCATATAGACCTTACTGTTTAGGCAGCAATGGGGAAGAATCTGTACTACACATCTTAAAAAAAATAATCAACTATTTTACAACACAATATAGCTTCCAATTTAATTTTGAAACTACAAGTGGTATAGCACAAGCAATAAGTATGCAGTATTGATAATAATTAATGTCCAAACTTTAATGTGGCATAAGCCACTCTATAAGCATGATCATTTCTGTACCATGAATAAGCAGGGGATTATGCCAAAAAACCAGTATGAAGCAACGCAATTAAAGACTGTATCATAGTGAAATCACAGAAGAGTGCCACTGTAAGGTGCCACCAAGCCTGGTGCCGGCATTTTCCGTACAATTCCACAACCACAGGTTTTCTTCACAACCATTTTTTTAATGCAGATTTGAAGATAAAACAGATTTTAGACTGGGCTGCAAAATCAAAATTGTAATTTCTCTATTTCTTTCATACTGACAATTGTTTGAGGGCAGAAATACACACAATTTACAGGCTTGAAGAACTATGATTTTATTTCCTGTTTTATGTATGCTGTAAAGACTGTGTTGCAAATCTGTTTTTAAAATTAACTCTATTTCAGAGTCCATCTGATATAAATAAATACTTCTGTCTTCAATTGCTATAACGCAAATTTGACTTTTTATAGATGCTTTTTACACCTTTTCAGAGATTTATAAATACAATTCTTCGAATAGCTTAATCTGCCATTATGAGAGATAACTGTCTTAGAGAGGAAGGGGGAAAAATGTCCCCATGGTTTACTTTCATGTTCCTGCATTGATTTCAAAGACTTCTTCCAATCAGTCATAAGTGAGATAAAAGAAACAGCTACAAAAATGAGATAAAGAAGCAGAGAACTCCATAAAACCACAATAATATTAGGGAAAACAGCAACTTTAAGCTGTCTGCTACAGTGCACAACTCCAGTGTTCTCTACATTTGGTACTGTTGACAACTTTTCCATATCATGTTATCATCATTAGTTTATGTGCCTGAATGATATCAAAGGAATCATATACGTTTTTAACTTAATGTTACTGACTTTTCCAGGAAATCCTCCACAGATAAGCTTTGCTTCCATTGATCCAAAACTGAAATAGTGATCATGTTCTGTGTTGAAGTAACTGAGACAAGAAGAGACAAAAAGAATCACAAAGAAAATATTAAAATTAATTTTTATTTTTATGTAGTGATCAAACCATTGCAGAGGCTAACCATACTTTACACAGGACATACAGAAGAAACAATGCTTTTAGTTTCCTTTAGCAAAAGAAAATGCAAATACACCAGAAAGATGCAAATAAATTTATATATATTTTTACCTCTATACTTGGAAATCCCCATTTTTTTCAGCATCTCAAAACCTCAACGTCACCTTTCAAACCTCTCCCAACTAATCAGATTTGGTACTTTACTTATCCCTGATAATTGCTTTTCTTCTATAACCACATGGCCAGACAGAATGTTTCCCAAAGATGTCTATAAACTAATCAAATATAATCCTCATTTATGGTGCTACATACACATAAATATCCATTACCCATGGCAATGAATATGTTTTACCTTCAAGAGCTATATAAACTGACATACTGTTACTTCTGGAAATGACTTCTTTTTTACCAGATTTACTATATTATGGACAAACACAAGTTTTTCCTTTAATCCACATTAAATCTAAACTGAAACTTAAGGACTGTATAACCTACTTCTAGTCCATGGCTTTCTATACTTATCATCAGCAAAGAGTCCAGTGAGATGATACTTTTCATCTTGATGTAAACAAGGAGGCAAGCAAAGCGATAATCTCCAGATGGAAAACTTCTGCCTTGCCATGCTCTGCACAAAAAAAGGCACATGATAAAATTATGAGAGAGACAGTTCGATTCTTTTTCTTTTTGTGCATTGCCTTTCCAGTTGAACGAACAGTTCCACTGTTTCCATGTGTTTTCTGCCAGCACATGATATTTTGTATTTAAACCTCATTTCTGTAAAAGTGACACAGTCAAAACTAAAAGAAGATACTAACTTTCACCTCACTTGATATTTAACTTTTGATCTACACTTCTTCATATGCAAAACTGCACATATGCTTAGCTACACTTACCTAAACTTTGCATGTGTTTATCACAGAATCACAGAATCTTCTAGGTTGGAAGGGACCTTAAAGATCATCTTGTCCAACCGTCAACCTAACTGACAAAAATAGACACCCACACAACAAACAAGGAGCATCATCACTAAACCATACCTCCCAGCACTTCATCAACCTGTCTTTTGAACACCTCCAGGGATGGTGCCTCAACCACCTCCCTGGGCAGCCCATTCCAATGTCTGATAACCCTTTCAGTGAAAATTTTTTCCTAATATCCAGCCTGAACCTACCCTGGTGCAACTTGAGGCCATTTCCTCTTGTCCTGTCGCCTGTGACTTGAGAAAAGAGACAGACCCCCATCTCTCTACACCCTCCTTTCAGGGAGTTGTAGAGAGCAATAAGGTCTCCCCTCAGCCTCCTCTTCTCCAGGCTGAATAACCCCAGTTCCCTCAGCCTCTCCTCATAAGACTTATTCTCCAGACCCCTCACCATTGATGTGTATAAGCTGGCCAGAAACAATTTTAAATCATTCCCACTATTGCTGTTTTAAGAGCTTATAAGATTCTAAAGCTTCTCAGCTTTCATAAGCTAAAACAAAAGCGCTATATAAAATCTTTTACCTTCAAGAAAAACAACAGGGAAGCATGGTAATAATCAATTTAATTCTAGAATTAAATAGTCAACATGGCAAATTCAGTAACTCTCCACTAAAGACCAACTTCAAAAAACTATCCAACAGTTAGTTTGTCACACACGCCCATGTGCAGTACTGTATAAATAGCACAGAACCGTAGAATAAACAGTGAGCTTAGGAAGTAGAGAAAAACTATTCTTACACAGGGGTTTGGATTTAACAAGTTTATACCTTAGAAAGAAGTTGTTCTCAAATATTTTGGGATGTAAAGGTATATTGGAAAAGGCAACTAACTATACAAATGGGGAGAACATCATGAATGACACCAGAAACTTCTCTCTAGTTCTAGGTCCATTGCCTGACTTCAGCTCTGTTTCTTCAAGGTCCTAGAAATGTCCACCCACTGCAGCATATGCAGTCAATCCAGTTATAGCTTGCACCATTAGACATCTCAGGTGACAAACTAGAAATGGTTCACTGACTTGGATTTCTACCAGAACAGCAGTGCTGTTGGTGCATGTGTTGAACCTTCCTGTATAGGCAGAGAGAAAATGGGGGAGAAAAAAAAAAATAAAGGAAGACAAAAAAAGATGTGGGAAGTAATCTGAGCACTGTCACATCTGTGAGAGGTCACTATTACAGATTCTTTTTTCCTTAACAGTTTAAACCTTTGTGGGATAGTTACAAATCTGTAAATGCCAGTTAATTTTAACTAAAAAGGCAAAAAACTACTGCCATCATAACATCTTTTCTGTAGAAGGGTCTTGCAAAAAATTGATAAACACCATATTGATCCAATGCATTCCCTCTTTCCTGAGTCAAAGCGTGACATTTCCTCGTGATCTTCTTTGCAAATTCTGAACAAAGAAGGTAAAACCAGACAGGTACAGGCAACTGGACATGTTTTCTACATGTTACTGGCCAGACATCACTTTAAGTAATCTGTATTGAAGTTACTGCTAAAACAACTACATTTATCATAAAATATAGTACAGCTAGTGAAGTTCCTGGTAGAGATCACAGGAACAGAAAGAGCTGATGATAACCTTTCTCTTCATTAAAACAAGCCTCAAGGATTGCAACATAAGAGCTCTCAAAGTACTCTTACATAAGAATGACCTGCTGGAGTTTCAGTAGAAACTACTGAACAAGTAAGTACAAGAAATAATATGACACAAATCAAAAAGAAATTGGAAAGAAATTGGAAAGAACTGTCTGTCATGTTGGACAGGGCTCTGAGCCCCTGTTCATTGCAGGGGGCTTGGACTAGATGGCCTTTAAAGGTCCCTTCCAACCCAAACCATTCTATGATTAAGAGGATTCCACGTCCAGCTGAGCCAGATGTAAAGGGGAATCAGAGCTTGATACACTCATCAAATCCCAGCATTTCCCAAGAATTGGAGGCATTTAGCAAGTGCACTTGATATATCAGAGGCCTGAAAAGTCATTGTAACTCCCACGTACTTTCTAGCAGGAGGGAAGAAGTTAGGCATACAGCATTTCTCCAGCTGCATGCCAGGAGAAGTGGTGTATGGGCTTACTCTCTCCCTGAGCTCTTGAAGGCATCATGTCTCACTACCTCATTCTTCTGGTCACACACTGGCAATATCCCCTCTTTGCAAAGCACCACTCCACTCTGCCAGAGAGGTTTTTTATTTGGCTCATGGCTTTTCTTTGAAAACATAAATAAGTAAAAACTCAATTAAGTAAGATTGTGTGCTTGAGTGATAAGCAGCTGGTAACATCAGGCAACTGTAGACAGGAAGAAAAACAAGACCATAACATTTCTATATCATAGAATAGAATCATAGAATCATAGAATCATAGAATCATTGAGGTTGGAAGAGACCCTTGGGATCATCGAGTCCAACCATCTACCCTACTCTACAAAGTCCTCCCCTACACCATGTCCCTCAGTACCCCATCTAAACGTCCCTTAAACACATCCAGGGACGGTGACTCAACCACCTCCCTGGGCAGCCTGTTCCAATGCCCGACCACTCTTTCAGTGAAAAATTCCTTCCTAATGTTCAATCTAAACCTACCCTGTTGGAGCTTGAAGTCGTTCCCTCTCATTCTATTGTTAATTACCTGTGAGAAGAGACCAGTACCAACCTCTCTACAGTGTCCTTTCAAGTAGTTGTAGAGAGTGATGAGGTCTCCCCTCAGCCTCCTCTTCCTCAAACTAAACAGCCCCAGCTCCTTCAGCTGCTCTTCATATGATTTGTCTTCTAGGCCCTTCACTAGTTTCGTTGCCCTCCTCTGCACTCGCTCCAGCACCTCGATATCTCTCTTGGATTGAGGTGTCCAGAACTGGACACAATACTCGAGGTGTGGCCTCACCAGTGCTGAGTACAGGGGCACAATCACCTCCCTACTTCTGCTGGTCACGGTATTTCTAATACAAGCCAGAATGCCATTGGCTTTCTTGCCCCCCTGGGCACACTGCCGGCTCATATTCAGCCGCTTGTCGATTAGAACCCCCAGGTCTCTTTCCTCCAGGCGGCTTTCCAGCCACACTTCCCCAAGCCTGCAGCGCTGCATGGGGTTATTGTGGCCCAAGTGCAGGACCCGGCACTTGCCCTTGTTGAAACTCATGCCATTGATCTTGGCCCAGTGATCCAATCTATCTAGGTCCCTCTGTAGGGCTTCCCTATCCTCCTGGGAGTCAACACTCCTGCTTAACTTGATATCATCTGCAAACTTGCTGATGATTCACCCTATGTCCTTATCGAGATCATCAATAAAGACGTTAAATAGAAATGGTCCTAGCACTGAGCCCTGAGGCACACCACTAGTGACCAGCCGCCAGCTGGATTTAAATCCATTGAGCACCACTCTTTGGGACCTTCCAGTCAGCCAGTGCTTGATCCAACAGATCGTATGCTCGTCCAGGCCATGTGAAGCCAGTTTTTCCACCAGATTTGTATGGGGGACAGTGTCAAATGCTTTTTGAAAATCCAGGTATACATATATATATATATATACACACAGGTATATATATCTTAACTGATCAACATCTATCAAGCCAAAATATTCATTGTAGGTGTGAAAAAACCATCTGCTCTCCATGAATTTAATCTAAAACATTGTAAAAACTCTTCCCTATCAACAGTAGGGAATACTGATGTATGTGTATCACTATCCTAATACATATTGAAGTAGCTAGAAAATTGGATTCGTTCTCCAAAAAAGCAATTGAATTTTATGCATTAGAAGTCACAGTGCATTCTCCAAAGAACTCTCTGCATGGGAAACTGGCTATAAAACATAATTATAAGTGCAACAAACACTAAAAAAAAAATAAAATTGATGCTCTTTCGTTTTGGCAAAATTGTACTTTAATTTTTTGCTTAAAGAACCTGTAATCACTTAACTATGTTATCCCAGCAAATGCAGTACAGCCTCACTGAAACAGAATTCCTAAGAAAGTAGTGCTCTATATCTTTTTTAATGTGCACTCAATCTTTTCTTCAGTTACTGACATATTTATTTCGGAATATTAAGAAAAATAATAAAACTATACCTCATATAAATAGTCTGTTGAATGATACTTCAAAGCTGTAAACATCTTGTTTTGTGATTTTTTCAACACCTCTTCTGTCTAGAAGATATACAGAATATGGATTAGTTAAAAACTTCCTATATAATGAAAAATGATGAAAGAGAAGGTTGAAATCAAGCTTCAACAATAATAACTTTCTAATTTCTGCACATGCACCTTGGAATCAATTTCCTATAGAGGAAAGATACCTGAAGTATTCAGAATTCTTCCTTTGGGAGGTTGCTAACAGCAGACTAATCACAGACCACACACACTTTATTTTTTTCCAAAAGAACTGGGCTTTTGGTTTGGTGGGGTTTTTTTGGTTTGGGTTGGGTTTTTTGGGGGGTGTTTTTTTGTTCATTTGTTTGTTTGGGTTTTTTTGTTTGAGGGTTTTGTTTGTTGTGGTTTTGGGTTTTTTTGTTTGTTTTTTTTTTGGTTTTTTTTTTAGCTTGGCCCTCCCTTTGCTGTTTGTTTCACAGAAAACCTTTCAAATCATTAAATGAATGTTAAGCAATACAAATTACCTCCCCCTAAGCACTAATTTTGAGAAACGAACTGATTGAATTAATTTTTATGGATTCTAAATTAGCTCTTAAAGATAGCACTTCAGCTTTCTAAACTATTAACTTTTCACCGCCCCACGTATTTATGAGCGGACTTTTTTTCTGTCCTTCAGTTTTACAAGAGAAAAGGTGATTGTGTAGGCTAGTTGTGAGGAAGAGGTCCTGCTGGAACATCAGGTCTCTAAATTAGTTCATGCTTCTGATGGGAACCAGGAGCGAGATGAAAACTATACATGGACAGAGATAAAGTGTGAGTACAAAACAGGATGTACCGTTGCTCAGTTTTGTATGCATAAGGTAAGAAAATACTTGTGCTTAATTAAAATGTGTCTGGAGAGTCAGGGCTAAAGCAAAATAGATCTATCCAAAAAGCATACAATGTAAATGAAATGTAACCAACATGAATTCTAGGGCCATAAGGGAAACTTGTGACAGAAGGCTGCTTCGGTATATATATCAGCAGGCATCAGTAACATGGTATTAGGCTAAAATTGCCTAGGCAACAGTGTTGGAAATACCAAATTCTGGTATGGATATAACAGAATTAGGACCAATGGGGAAAAACTAATAAGAGGCTGATTGCTTATTTGAGAGGAGTCTGTGCAGAGAAAAGGAAGTGCAGTGGAAGTATAAAGGTAGGTTCAGGAAAAGAATCAGGGCATAAGGTATAAAATCGGATGGAGAATGCAGCTTAGGGGAACCTTCCGATGGAAAGAGTGTGGATGGTTAGAGAGGGGAGTGAACCCAACCCATAGACCAAAAATGCTGGGAATGTGCAGGAAAACCCTTTGGACAACCTCCTGGCCCTTCTATAAGGTCTAAGTCCAACAGACTTGGTGTGGGAGGGTGAAGCAAGAAGGGATGCATTTGTAAGAAGGGACAGATTTGTACTTTAATACTCATTGCAGGAAGAATAATTCTATCCAAGGGAATTGATTCAGGCAATAGAATTGCAACTTAATATTATTGATACTATCACTTTATAAGGTCTTTTTGTAGCAATATAACCATGCATTCATGCAAACACTAAGCAATAGAATTGCAACTAATACTCGCAGTGATATAATTGTGAATTAATACAGCTAATAGTAGTGAACTTACAGTAGCCACTTCAGGTACTAGCAGTTTCTTAAGGCTGTGTCAATCAGAAAACATCAAAACCACGTCAGTCAGGTGTGTGGGAAAGTGGGAAAGTGGGACTTAGAAATACTACTCTGTGAGGACACAAGGAAATCCAAGCATACTTAAAACCTTTTAAGTTTTTTTTTAAGAAGAAACGATAAAACTGCAGAACGGCGTTTACCCCCTTTCACTGAGAACTCCAGGGGAACACCGCTTTAAGCAGGTGAAATGCGCAGTTCTCAGGCACTTCTACCGCCACGGGAGGTTTTTAAACCCGCAGTTTTCAAAATCGGTGACAAACCGGCAGGGACCGAGTGGCGATGTGCGGCGGAAAGGGAGAGGGGCGAAGACACAAACTAACCTGGGGTCCAACACCACACGGCCGCCGCCGCCGCCGCCTTTACCTCAGGGCGACCGCCGCCGGCCCCGCCCCGCCCTCCGCCTGCGCGGGAAGCCCACCGGCGCCTCTGATTGGCTGCCACCTTCCCGCCCTTGGCCCCCGCGGCCGGCCGGGGCTTCCCGCCCTGGAGGCCGCCGATGGCCGCCCTCAGACCCCACTGCGGAGCTGCCAGGGGGCGGAGAAGGAGGGGAGCGGCTTCCCAGTAGTTCTGTGCCTCGTCCCTGGCTTCTGAGAGTACCCGGGCAGACATTTTACCTCAGGGAAAGGGCTATTTATTCGGAGTTGGCTCAGGGCGGTCTGCGGGAGGCCTCTGGAAACCGACCGTGGGTGCTGCGTTATTCTTAAATACTGCACTCTTTCCTCTACAGGCAGCATCACCAAGGGGTTAGAAGCAGATAGCCCCAAATCTCTAAATAAAAGAAAAATTGTCAGGAGGAGCAGATAGGAAAACTTACATGCTCCTCAAAGCAGAGCTGAAAATACTTTCAAAGCAGTAAATGCAATTAAGAAAATAAGTTTCATCTTTTGTCTACCGGTAGCAGCTTGTATGGGAGAAGAAAGAGAAGAAATAAAGAGATAAGTTTGTTTTTTAAAGCGATTGTATCTAGAACTTCTGCTGACCTGCTGTCTGTTTCCTGGGGAGCAGAGATCAGAGCAGAGCAGAGGCCAGAATTTAATATCCAGAAATTCTTCCGCTTCTTGTGCCCAGCAAGCGTATGAAATGTCAATTTATACAAATAGCTGTCAACTTTGGGAAAAAGGCTTTTTTAATTTATTTTCCCAATCCCCCTGCTTTTAATTGGCTGCATAGATTGCTCCCTCTGTCTGTTGACAGGCTGCTGTCTGTTGAACAAATCGCTGTGTTTCTCAGCAGGCAGTTTAGCATGGGATTTCTGCTGTGGTCCAGGCTCTAACTAATCCCTGGCCTGACAGAAGTTTCAAGATGAGTTGTGAGAATGTTCATTCTTCTCCCTCCCTTGGCTTTTCACACATCCCAGCTACAGTTAGGCTTCTGATGCGGTTCTGTGTGCTGGAATGGCACCTTCTTACTGTGGCTGGCACCACGAAGTCAGTATATTGAGTGTCCTTACCTCCTCCTTTTACCTTACAAGTGCATACCCACAGGGGGTACATCAGAAGTGCAGAAATCTTTGGTAATGCTGCAGCAGGTGCATCCAGCCTGTTGCTACCATAATCTGGGGAGTCTGGAAAATTTAGCCCCTCCAAGAGCTCCTTGCAGGCTGAGTCCCAGGTGGGAATAGATTTCTGTGGGGAAAAAAAAAGTTACTCTTTTCACTCTGGCTTTAAGTGCTCTGTTAACTTTTGTACATCCCAGTGAGTGAAAAAGTAAGTTAAAAGCAGCCTAGTGCTGTCTTTACCACAACAAAGTACGCAGTTTTTTTGTTGTTTTCTTTTTTAAACTGAGAGGATGGGTTTAGCCCAGCATTAGCACAGAGGTTTTTTTCCAAGCACAAGCATATTGCAAATGTTTCCCAGACACTTGTCCCTATGAAAAGTGCAAATGCCAATACTTTATTATTATCTCAGTATTTATATTTTTAAAAAGTATTTATCTTCTTATCTATAAGAATTAGAAGACAAATTGTTGGGCCAAGTAGGCGTGATGTACAAAGCACAGGAACTTCCAATTAATTTCATAAGCGCTCCTTTCCCAGTTGGAATACGGAGAAAGGCATGTTTTTATCCTAAACCAGGAAACAAAATAACAGTATATGATGGGTAACTGAACAGGATGTTACAGCAGAGAAATGCCCCTTAATAGCAAAGCCTTTGAAGTACCTTGAAAAGGTAAAAGTAATGACAATCACTACAGCAGATCAAGCACTTACGCAGCTACTCCAAGAAACAAGGCAGCAACATGTACTCTGAGTAACGTGATAGACATATTCTGTGAAGATTACAATATTTCCAGTTTTTCTTCATCAGATTGAAGGGTTAATGGGGTACACATCCTGCAGGAAAAAAAAAAAAGGCAACAATTCATAGTTAAATCCATGACTTTTTTCCTCAGATATATCTGTAGATCTGGATGTCTGTACATACAACTTTTGAACAGATGCATAGGGATTGTTTGTATGGCTGACAAAAGGTGGCAAGTGGTATACACTAGTTATATTACTGCTGTTACAATTAAGATCACAAATGGAAGAAGCCTTTCCAGCCCACTACCCGAACCCAGGCAAAGCCTTCTTCCATGCAGGATGCAGTGGGGGCTGTGTGAAATCCAAGTGGTAGCTTTGGTACTCACAGGGCAAGCACACACTTTCCTCATAAGACAACATGCTGCATCTCCGTTGGATATCTTGTGAGTAAAGGAGGAGAATAACATGAGTGCCAATTAGCGTTTAGAGACAAGGATGTTGTGTTGGGACAGTATAATATGCTTTGCACAAATCCACGTAGATGACATCAATCGCTCTCCACGTATCCACCAATGCTATAATGCTGTCGTAGAAGGTCACCAGATTTGTCAGGCACGATTTTCCCTTTGTGAAGCCACATTGGCTGTCACCAATCACCTCTCTGTTTTCCATGTGCCTTAACAGAGTTTCCAGGAGGATCTGCTCCATGACCTTTCCTGGGCACAGGGGTGAGACTGACCAGCCTGTAGTTCTCCAGGTCTTTTTAAAAATGGGGGTTATATTTCCTCTTTTCCAGTCGCTGGGAACTTCAGCAGACTGTCACAACTCTCAAATATGGTGAATGGTGGCTTAGCAACTTCATCTGCCGGTTCCCTTGGGACCCTCGAATGCATCTCATCAAGTCCCATGGACTTGTGCACATTCAGGTTCTTTAGATGGTCTTGAACCTGATCTCCTCCTACGGTGAGCAGCAAGTACTTCATTGTCCCAGTCCTTGCTTTGGAGTCTGTGAATTGGGTGGCACGGGTCTTGTTGACAGAACTGTTATATCTTTTGTAAATATGATTATATAAATACAATCACTTGTGCCAGTTATAGAACAGCAGCTGAGAAAAATCTTGTTTATACATATGTGCTTACCTAGCAGAAGAAAAGAATGCAGAAAAATTACTAATATGAAGGAACACACAGCTTTTAAAAATACCTCTGCGGTGGTCTAATTGTCTCATATCCAATTTAGGACTGGCTCTGTAAAGTATGCGACCGAGTCCTTAATGAGCTGTCTGCTTCCTTGTGAATAAGGTAATTAAATTAGTTGCAAGGTAAAACACTGTTCTGTGCAGGAGGAGGAATAAAGACCCAAGGGAGAGCAGGGAGAATCCATCTTATGAAGTGGTCTGTGTCACAGTACCGTGGAAGTGGCAAGAATCACAAGTAAGCATGCATTTCAGGATGAAAGCTAGATAATCACAGAATCATAGAATAGAATCATAGTATCGTCCAGGCTGGAAGGGACCTCCAAAGGTCATCTAGTCCAACCCCCCCGCAGTCAGCAGGGACACCCCCAACTAGACCAGGTTGCCCAGGGTTGAGCCTCACCTTCAATATCTCCAGGGAAGGGGCCTCAACCACCTCCCTGGGCAACCTGTTCCAGTGCTCCACCACCCTCACAGTCAAGAACTTTCTCCTAAACTACTCTGAAGCCAATCTTTTATGTCCTGCTGCTTCTCTCTTATGTTGCAGACTCCTGCAGAGATTGAGAGACGGGACACAGCTTGATGCGAGCAAAATGTTCTGTTTATTGTGTGAAATTATTTGTTTATATACGTTTACATTAGCTGCGTGTTTTAAACAGATTGGTCCTTTGTACATACACTACTTGTGCGGCTACACCTAATTGGTCAGCGATGCGCTAGCAACCACGTCTTATCTCAAGGACACATTCCTTGGGGCCTCCTTAGGTAGGGGCCTGAAACTTGCTTACCTGGGTGCTGCACCATTTGCCGGGTTTCTGGTATCAGGCCCTCATTTTGCCCTTTTATGGTGATGGCCATCTTCAGTTTCCCATGGTTTATGGCCTACAAGTTCCAGCACATCCTGGCTAATGAGTTGAGCGGTACTCGGGGTTCTGCTCTTCAGGCCTCGTCCCACATCTCCCCCTTCCTGTTGCACATAAAGTAACCTTCTTCATCAAGCGTGCTATTATTTTTTGCAAGCATTGCAAGAGATAGGGCAAGAAAAGCAGTAAAAGGATAAAAGCGGCTAAAGCATACACGATCACCTTTACCAAACTTCTAAACCATCCTGACAGACCCCATCCCCCAAAAAGTTTATCTAACCCATCCCAACTATTGTCTCGTCAGAGTTTAAAGACCCCAGCCTTAAGCTGTCAAATGCTGGCATGGATCGATTCCGAGTGGTTGGAGAGATTCATACAACACATGCCTTCAAAATCCTCACAGCCATGGCCTTGCACTAAAAGCAAAAAATCTACAGCAGCTCTATTTTGCAATGGAGCATGGTGAACACTATCAACATCTAATAAAGGCCAGACAATGCACTACTAGTAGCATTGGTCTGTTTAGGAAGCCAGCAGCCAAGCTTACCTAAAGGCGCTAATGCTCTCCCAGCGACAACTCCAGGTAACAAAAGAGAGGCGGTAAAGCATTGACTAAAAGACCAAAACTCCACATTATCACTACAATTGGGGGTATATGCATGGATGCCACTCTTCGCCCTATGAGAAAGACGGTGTTGTAAAATCATAGATGTATTAGGAGTCAGGACAGAAAGGCATCCGAGGCTACACGGACCTCCTATTATGTGAGAAGGGATAACGGGCCATGCCCTATCCCCACAGATCAAAAATATCCCTGATGGTAATTGAAGGGGAACATTACTAGACTGAGATAAATTTCTTGCCATGTAATTACACCAAGCGCTTGCGTTTTTAAAAGCGGGATGGGCAGGAGAGACATCCCATGCCCTAGACTGATTTTTTCCTGTATAGTTATACTTAACACAGAAGTCCATTTTTACTGATCCGAGGAGCTCAATCTCTTGTGGCTCTAGGGTAGCGGGTGGGAGATAGGGGGTCCACCCAACTCAATTATCGGTCACATTTTTGGACACGTTTCTGGATGGAAAAATGAATTGGAGTCCCATAGGTATCAGCCACTCGCCCAGCGGCAAGCCCACGAGGCACGTAGAAAAGAGGTTAGGGTAGCGGGTGGGAGATAGGGGGTCCACCCAACTCAATTATCGGTCACATTTTTGGACACGTTTCTGGATGGAAAAATGAATTGGAGTCCCATAGGTATCAGCCACTCGCCCAGCGGCAAGCCCACGAGGCACGTAGAAAAGAGGTTATTAAGAGAGGCAGTAGCAAGACACAAAGTGTCTTGTCTGGTCATATTTGCCAATGTGACCCACACATTTACTTTAGGAAGAGGAGGGGGAAAAAGGTTGCCCCAAAGAGGTAAGGGTCCTACGCCTATTATTATCAGAACCAGAAACTCAATTATGTTCTTTCAAAGCAACAAGAGTCAAAGTCTGACCCTATCCAGACGCTCTGAGGCTCCCTCAGCGTCTTAGTCATCAGTGTCTCCATCGTTCGCAGTCCCAGAGGGCTCAGGAGTTTGTTGATCAAAGAGATGATCGGAGTCGTCACTCGATGATTGTGGCAGGGATTCACCAAAGGGTCCCACGTTCTTCGCCGGAATCCACCTGGGGCCTTTTTCTGTGGAGACACAAGCATAACCTCTTCCCCACATAAAAAGAGGATATGGTCCCATGATCTTACCTGTTTCTGGATCACGAACCAACACCAGGGCTTTAATTCATGCTTCAAGTGAAGCATTCACATTAAAATGCCGAACTATCGGAGGATTATTATCTATTAAAGAACAATTCAAAAAGTTAAAAACATACAAAGCTTTCTGTAGTCGTTCCCCAGGGGTGGCAGTCCCCATTCCCCCTGTCTGTTGTTGCAATATGTGCTTCAAAGACTGGTGGGAGTGTTCAATCAGAGACTGACCTGTAGGGGAATGAGAAATGCTGGTAATGTGGGTTATACCCCAGGAGTCAAGAAAGGCTTTTGTTGCAGTTGAGACATATGCAGGGCTGTTGTCCGTTTTTCTTGGAGAGGGTATGCCCAAGGTGGCAAAAGCATGCACGTGCCTTTTTCCCTGTGAGGCAAGAAGCAAACCAAGCACCTGAAAATGTTTCAATAGAGGAATGGACGTATTTCAATTTACCAAACTCTGGACAGTGCGTAATTTCCGTTTGCCACGGCTCTGCAGTCCTCTAGGATTGACCCCTCCTGCTATCGATGGGCAGGAATGCCTTTGACAGTCAGGACATATGGCAACAATAGTAGATGCTTGTTGGGAGGTAAGCCCAAACTGCAATTTGAGACCTCCAGCATTCTGGGGAAAGAAAGAATGGCTGAGTTTAGCCTGTGCTATACGATCCGGCAATACCTGTACTGGTAATGTCAGCAAATCAGCTCGTCAGTTCCCTTCTGCAATAAAACCAGGTAGAGAAGTGTGTGACCTGACATGCATAACTAAATTGGGGTGAGGACGAGAGTCCAAGAGAGAGATAAGTTCCTGTAATAAAGCAAATAGTTCGGAATGTGAGACATTACGTAATACAGATGCCTCAGCTTGCTCAACAATCCCTGCAACATGGGCTGAATCAGTGACAAGGCTAAGTGGCGTAGACCGTTTTCGAAAAACTTGAACAACTGCAGTTAGCTCCACTACCTGGGGAGAACCAGGAACGGTTTCTATGTCCGATTCCCATTGTTCATTCTGGACATCCCACCACAGAATGACTGATTTGTGCGATTTTTCAGATCCGTCTATGAATACAGTAAGGGTTTGTAATGGCTGATCGCTCCTTTTCGGTCTGGATAACAAGTGAAAGTCAACATTCAGCAGCTTATGTGAAGCTGGGTGGGATGTGAGTTGACCCGTGTAGTCTGCCAATGCCATAGTAAAGGTGTCTGACTGCTGATAAAGCCATTGTAAATACATGTTTGTCACAGGCAAGCAAATGTGAGCAAAGTCTATTCCTGACAATGTTAACAAGCGTTGCCTGGCTTTAATTATCAAGGAAGCAAATATCTCATGCTGTGTCGAAATGGTTTTTGTAGATTGATTCGGCAAGAAAACCCATTCGATAATCAGCAGTGGGTCTGATTTCTGAGGGTCCCATTGAAATATTAATGCATGATATTGTCGAGCGGGGTTCAAAATGATTAGATAAAAAGGTAATTTGGGAGCCCATCGGTGTGCTTGTCTGAGAGTAATTGCCCTTGCAACCTTTTGTAACGATGACATAGCTTCTGGGCCAAGGCTACGAGGGCAACACAGATTTGTATCCCCTTTAAGTAATTCAAATAAAGGACACAATTCCACATTAGAAGTTCCTAACAGTGGTCAAACCCAATTGATTGTTCCCAACAATTTCTGTACATCATGCAAATTCTGCACGTCTGTGTCAATCTGTAAGGGTTGAGGAACTATAGTCTGGGCCCTTATGCGCCAACCTAAATATTTCCATGGGGGTATTTTTTGAACGTTCTCTGGTGCAATACAGAGGCCTGCTGAGTTGACAGCAGATATGACAAGGGCTACAGCTTCCTCCATGACCTCGTGATGTTGTGTGGCCACTAGGATATCATCCATGTAATGGTACAACAAGACATCGGACATTGCGGTCCTAACAGGACTAAGTACTTCAGCTACATACCACTGACAGATTGTAGGGCTGTTCTTCATTCCTTGTGGCAACACAACCCACTGGTATCTTTGCAATGGGGCTTGCATGTTGACACTTGGGACTGAAAAAGCAAATTTAGGAGCATCATTTGGGTGTAATGGGATATTAAAAAAGCAGTCCTTGAGGTCAATAACAGTCAAATGCCAATGTTGAGGAATCATAGTGGGGGACGAGAGTCCTGGTTGGAGGGCTCCCATGTCTTCCGTAGCATCATTAATTTTCTTGAGGTCATGGAGCAAGCGCCACTTGCCAGTTTGTTTCTTAATAACAAAAACAGGTGAATTCCAAGGACTAGTGGAAGGCATAATATGCCCTTTCATTAACCGTTCCATGACTAATTCTTGGAGGGCACAAAGCTTTTCCAGTGGTAAGGGCCATTGATCTACCCAAATAGGGGAATCAGTTTTCCATGTCAACTTTAGGGTGTCACACACTTCAATGGCCCTGTCTAAAAATGGGTCTGAATGGACATTCCCCACTGTGATAGCACATCACACCCCAACAGAATCATGGGAAAGGGTAACACAAAGAGTTTAACAGAGACTATATGCCCCTTCGGACCTTTGATTTGGATTGATTCCACACTTTGGTGGCTGTTACCAGTTCCCCCAATTCCAGCCAATGCTTGGGAAACGTTAGCCAGAGGCCATTGCGGGGGCCACTTACCACGAGAGATTACTGTAACATCAGCTCCAGTATCAATAATTCCATTTAGCACTACTTGCTGTCCTCTGCGGATAAGGGTACATTGACATACGGGTCGCTTTTGAGAAATAGATTGTACCCATAGAATTTGCAGGTTCTCTGTAGATCCAAACCCTCCCCTCCTTTGTTGAGGTTGACTAGAAACGGGGGAGTTTGTCCCCGCTGGAATCAATATTAATTGCGCTGTACAGCTACCTTTAGGTATTGTGCAGGGAGGAGATGGGGTCCATACCACAATCTTAATTTCATCAGTACTGTCAGAGTCAACTACCCCTGGTAATACAAAACGACCTGACAATGTTGTAGATGATCTTCCTAACAACAGCACTTGTGTTCCAGGGGGTGAGGGCCCCGAGATGTTTGTTGACAATAGGTGAACCAAGGAATCAAGTAACGTTACTGTGTAGGAGGTTGCTAGGTCCGATCTGGTGCTACCAGCTCTTGCTGGACAAAGACTTGAGGCACTGCTGCTTCCCTCCGTGGAGGTTGGAACGTTGGCTGTGGTACTTGTGTCTGCACACCTCGCTGCCTCGCGCTCCGTGATTGCTTTCCCTGGGTTGGCCCTGGAAATCATACTTAGACCGGCATTGATTAGCATAATGACGTCCTTTTCGGCATCTAGGGCAAATCCCAGGGGCTTGAGACTTAGCCCCTCCATTCGTGACCAGGTGTCGGGAGGAGGAGGATGTCGGGAGTGGGAGACGGACCCGGAGTAACGATGTAACCTCAATATGAGTATGATCGTTCTCCCTTTATTTATGTTTTTCCAAAGTATATATAGACAGGCAAGCAGAGCACGCGCTAGCGGTAGCTCTACGATTGGCTTACAATCTCTGTTCACGCGACCAGAGCGGTCACACAATTGGTGTAGACCCCTTGTCCACCCGCAGCAACATTCTCGCATCTTCTGGATGCGGTCCCGTTTATCTTATCTACCAAGTAGCTGCTGCTGCTTACTTCTGCTTTTTCCAGGAGAGCTCATGGTCATCTCCAGGCCTTTATCTACATCAAAGACTGGGTTGCTCATCGCAATTAAATCGTGGCCTTTTTCACACAGCCATTCCTCCACAATTCCCCATTTTTGTTTTTGAGCAATCCAGGCTTGTTTACTACTTTTAACATAGTTCTCTTAATACAACTAAGTACTAAACATAAGCACAGACCTATGATTACAAGGATTATTATAATGCGCAAGCCTTCAACAAGCAAGTCTACTAATCATTGCCGCATATTCCCAAACAAGATAATTAGCCACCCATCTAAAAACCCATGGTTTTGATGAATTTTGTTGGCATGTTTTTTTAACCACTACAACTGTTTATGAATTGATTTACTGTGATTGGACAAGTTCATACAGCACATGCCTTCAAAATCCTCACAACCATGACTTTGAGCTAATAGTACACACTATAGTTGCTAAATTCTTCTACCTTAAAGCCAGTTATTTCTATCAAACATGTCTGAAAAAGCTCTATAGCAGAGGCAAGCAATAGGCAAAAAGCTTGTTATCTTGTTTTGTTTGCCCAGGTAACCCACATATTTTCTCTGGGCTCAATTTTGTGAAGAGTCATTACCACCGGGATCAATATCCCTAGGGATATTGATCTTGGGATGTTCAGGATCTTGAACATCTGATCAAGATTGATCAAGATGTTCAGGATCTTGAACATCTTGGTTGTCAGGTGGATCATGTTGAATCAGAGCAGTTTTTATGACTCTACTGGGCACCCACACTGGACCACGATCATCTAATATAGTGTCTCTAATAACGCCACTCCAGCGTGTAGTCCTCGGAGGTGTTGAGGGATTCACTAGCCATGAAGGTGTGCTATCATCCTTTCTCCCCACACATAAGTCTAACTCCTCGAGCCGCTTTAAAACTGTCTGTAACATTTTTTTTTCTGTGGTGTCTGCGGACCGTTTACGACTCTTGTCGGGAGGCGGAGTTGACGGACCAGATGAATCGCTGAAGGGGGGCAGCGGTGGATACACGGCAGTCGGAGGCGCAGGAGGAGGTGCCGTGGGCGGAGGCCGAGACGCTGCTCCCCCCAGATCGATGAGATCAGTAGGTGTTTCAGGCCCCTCCTCTGCTGGAGTTTTCTGAGCAGGCACTTCCGCATGTGCGTTACTTTTCTGGTTTGACTTAGCAGCATTTACTTCCGCTTTTTCCGAGTTTTGCAAGGGGTTTAGCAGTAAATCTTTTCCCTCCTGAGGAGGGTCAGAGGTCTCATTAGCGCAAATTTCAGCAACAGTTTTACATGTGGACCCGGTCATTGCCTTTACTGCGGGCAGTCCCAAGAACTGCGCAATAAATCCAGGCTTGCCTTGAGGTTTTAAGGTGACTCTACTGGGCACCCACACTGGACCACGATCATCTAATATAGTATGCTTGGGAAACGTTAGCCAGAGGCCATTGCGGGGGCCACTTACCACGAGAGATTACTGTCATTACCACCGGGATCAATATCCCTAGGGATATTGATCTTGGGATGTTCAGGATCTTGAACATCTGATCAAGATTGATCAAGATGTGTATCAATAATTCCATTTAGCACTACTTGCTGTCCTCTGCGGATAAGGGTACATTGACATACGGGTCGCTTTTGAGAAATAGATTGTACCCATAGAATTTGCAGGTTCTCTGTAGATCCAAACCCTCCCCTCCTTTGTTGAGGTTGACTAGAAACGGGGGAGTTTGTCCCCGCTGGAATCAATATTAATTGCGCTGTACAGCTACCTTTAGGTATTGTGCAGGGAGGAGATGGGGTCCATACCACAATCTTAATTTCATCAGTACTGTCAGAGTCAACTACCCCTGGTAATACAAAACGACCTGACAATGTTGTAGATGATCTTCCTAACAACAGCACTTGTGTTCCAGGGGGTGAGGGCCCCGAGATGTTTGTTGACAATAGGTGAACCAAGGAATCAAGTAACGTTACTGTGTAGGAGGTTGCTAGGTCCGATCTGGTGCTACCAGCTCTTGCTGGACAAAGACTTGAGGCACTGCTGCTTCCCTCCGTGGAGGTTGGAACGTTGGCTGTGGTACTTGTGTCTGCACACCTCGCTGCCTCGCGCTCCGTGATTGCTTTCCCTGGGTTGGCCCTGGAAATCATACTTAGACCGGCATTGATTAGCATAATGACGTCCTTTTCGGCATCTAGGGCAAATCCCAGGGGCTTGAGACTTAGCCCCTCCATTCGTGACCAGGTGTCGGGAGGAGGAGGATGTCGGGAGTGGGAGACGGACCCGGAGTAACGATGTAACCTCAATATGAGTATGATCGTTCTCCCTTTATTTATGTTTTTCCAAAGTATATATAGACAGGCAAGCAGAGCACGCGCTAGCGGTAGCTCTACGATTGGCTTACAATCTCTGTTCACGCGACCAGAGCGCTCACACAATTGGTGTAGACCCCTTGTCCACCCGCAGCAACATTCTCGCATCTTCTGGATGCGGTCCCGTTTATCTTATCTACCAAGTAGCTGCTGCTGCTTACTTCTGCTTTTTCCAGGAGAGCTCATGGTCATCTCCAGGCCTTTATCTACATCAAAGACTGGGTTGCTCATCGCAATTAAATCGTGGCCTTTTTCACACAGCCATTCCTCCACAACCAGGCAATTATTTTTCAAATGGCCTGGCTTACCACAACCATAACAATTCCCCACGCCTGATGGACCTTTCATGATTGCAAAGGCGGCAGCCATAACCTCGAATTTATGATCCACAGTGCCGATCCAATTACAGGCTTCCACCATTTCAATCAATGTGGGATTCGGATTAGGAAGAGATTTCAATAGCTTTTTACAATCAGCATTAGCATTTTCAACAGCCAGCTTTAACAACAGTATTTCCCGAGCATCAGTATTATCTATTTGACGTTCCAAAGCCTGCTTCAGTCTATTGATAAACTGCATGTAAGGCTCTTGGGATCCCTGAGTGATGGTGGTAAAGGTTTTCTGCGGTTTCTGTGAGTCGGGGATTTTAAGGAAAGCCTTTTTTGCTTCTTCGCGGACCACCTGGAGAGCCTTCCGGGGGCAGTCTCGAGCTTGGGCTGCTGGGTCTGAGTGCTGACCTGTACCTGTAAGGTTCTCCATGGTCAGCGCAGCCAACGCAGCATTATTATGACCCGCATATGTAAGAAGGAGTGCCTGAAGTCCCCTTCTCCAACATGACTCCCATAGCGAGTATCGAGTTGGAGTCAATAACAACTGCGCTAGAGACGTTAAATCATGAGGAGTCAAAACATTTGTGTTGAACACGGAAGACAACAGACTCGCAAAATAGGGTGAAGAAAGCCCGTGCTCGGTAACGGTAGGGCGCATTTCCTTAATAACTGGAAAAGATAGGGCCTCCCATCGCGTCCCCGGCCCTGATAAATCACCGGATCCACTATTGCTCTAGCAACCTCCAGATCCCCCTCTTTCAGGGCTTGTCGTCTTATGTTCACCCACACATCGTGTGGGTCGGGGGGTATAAGTCCGGTTCCTTGTCCGGATCGACCGGACCCCGGATCGAAAGTCTCTTCCTCCGGGGGGTTACCGGCGGCATGTACGCCTAAAGGTCCGGGACGCGGTGGCCCAGAAGGTGGCGCCTCTCCCCCTTCTTTGGCTTTTGGAGTCTCAAAAATGCTCCTCCACCACGGGAGCATACGCTGAGCCTCAGCATTTCCCGTCGTTGCCGCGTCCCATAATTTCATCCCCACGTCATCCCAGAGTAAAAATACTTGATGCAGTTACAGTGGGCATTTTCATCTGCACCCGTTTAAGCGTTGCCTTGAGGTCATGCCCGGAAATATTTTTCCCATGCTTTTCAAGAAGACCTTTCAGAAGTTCATATAAGTCTCTTTCCGGGGACGACGCTTGATTCCCCATGTTTCCCACAGCTCACCTCTCTACTCCGGAGGGATTTTGGGCTGGCCGGCTCCCGCTTCCTTTCAGTGGCTCATTCAACGTTCTGTGGGACTCACAGCAAGCTGCTCAGCTGGGCGGTTCATAAACCCATCATCTCGGGGTCACCAATTTGCAGCGACTGGGAGACAGGACACAGGTTGATGCAAGCAAAATGTTCCATTTATTGTGTGAAATTATTCATTTATATATGTTTACATTAGCTGCGTGTTTTAAACAGATTGGTCCTTCGTACATACACCACTCGTGCAGCTATACCTAATTGGTCAGCGATGCGCTAGCAACCATGTCTTATCTCAAGGCCTCCTTAGGTAGGGGCCTGAAACTTGCTTACCTCGGTGCTGCACCATTTGCCAGGTTTCTGGTATCAGGCCCTCATTTTGCCCTTTTATGGTGATGGCCATCTTCAGTTTCCCATGGTTTATGGCCTACAAGTTCCAGCACATCCTCACTAATTAGTTGAGCAGTACTCGGTGTTCTGCTCTTCAGGCCTTGTCCCACAGACTCCTACTGAATTCAGTGGAAGGAACTCTTTCTTATGAGTAGGGCGAGTGCCATCTGACCTCTGATTGTGTGAGCAGACCCAGTGTGTGGTCTCACTGCCTTCTGACTCCGCAAAGCTTCATGTGAGTAAAGCTTTGTTTCTGTGATAAACACACTTAATCTGGGTGTGACTCCATTATTGGACTATTAAGAGAGAAAACGCTGCTAATGTGTACTCCAGTTAAAGACACTTGACTCTGTCAGGGGTGAGTGTCTTAATGCAAAGTCATTCACAATTTTAACACATGAATATGACATAAAGTTGCTTTTGCAGCTCTACTTCTAGTAGAGTCCAGTGAAACCAATGTTTCTACTGGATTTTAAATGCAGGGGGGGTGGAAAGCCTTTTGATGCTTCATAATTTCACAGAACTAACAGAACCAACTTGAAGCAGATATGTTAATGGCAACCTGTGGTAGTCTTTTTTCAAATACTGGTTCAGAAAACAAAATTGTTATGGATCTTTCGGGTTGATTCTCTGAAAAGTGGAATAAAACAATATAAGTTACTAAGTATAAAGTAGACATGCAGGGTAGGGTAAAGCATTGAAATGATTGAGCTAATCTGTTTTAATCATGAGTTAAATCAGCCACCAGGTAAACATGTTTTAAATAAACTAAATCATGTTGAGTTATGCAAGTGGCCAGCCCTGACCTGTGGTATGTGAACAAGCCAAGAACATGAGAAATTGCAGATCCTTACAGATAGGAAAAGGTGAATAATATTTATGTAGCTGGCCAGCTTTCACCAGTGGATACAGCAACAAGATGTCAACATAAAAGATGACAGAAATGAGAAACTCTGTACTTAAAAAAACAAATCAAACCAATGGAGTCCAGGGGGGCAAGACTAACCAGTAGTAAAGGCAAAGCATTAAATGAGGGACTATTTGGAGCTGTCTTCCAAACATCGATAAGGCCAAACAACAGTACTGTCGCTTTGTCTCTTCCTCTCCTAACAATTTAATAGGTTTTTTTTTCAAATTTTACTTAATATTTTTTAAATAAAATCTTTATTAGCCTGGGTTTTTTTTCCAGTTTATTGTCAAATAAATGCAGTCAGTTCATGACACTTGATTTTTTTTTCCAGTGAAAAACATTTATAGGGATATTTATTAAGTTAATAGCTTCAAATGGTCTTGTTTGGATTCTTCATTTTGATCTGTTTTATTTTGTTTGCAAATGGTAGGTGATGCTTTTCAAAATGTATGACTCAAATTTTTATTGTTGTCCCAAAGTCTGTTTGGGTAGAAATTGAAATTGAATACATTATGAAAAACTTTTTCTTTGGTCTTTTCTTATGCAAAACTGTTTGCCATTTGAAGTGAGCTTGTTAAAATAAAGGAGTTATTTGTGAATTGAAGTGATTGTTTCTAGTTATTAATTCCTTCAACAACTAGTAATATTCATTTCTAATAATAACTTGTAATAGGAAAAGGGAATTCCTGCTCTTTGAACTCCTTAATTTTGTAGTAATTGCTCACAGCTCTATGGTAGCTAAAGATACTGGGAAGAGGAAAACTTTCAATATAGAGGCTGCTGATGGCCAGAGCCGACTTTGCATTTCACTGCACTTCATTGCAAGTGTTTACCAAGTAACTTACCCTCATTCACATGTTGTAGGCATGTGCCTAATTATACTTAAACTACATTAATATTAAATTTGCATCTTCATGTAGATTGCCATCATGATACATTACATCTCAATAAAATACCACTTCTTTGAAAGAAAATGTGTTAGATAAAATCTCCATCAAAGAAAACATATTGATTCTGTCTGTGTTGTTAGTCACTTAAATGGTCAAATTGGTAGGGCCATACTGTCTTGCCAGTCTTTCTTTTCCAAATGTGAATCGAATTGTGGGCATTTATTAATTCAACCA